GGCAAGAGTCGTACCTGTGGGTGTACCTAGAAATCGTCATGATGATAGGCTAAATGGTAAGGGAACTCGTGGTATTAGAATTCAAATAAAAGATCATGTTGAGTTGAGCACCGCCCACTTGTATATTTTGAACAATACAGAAGAGGTTATTCCTTACATAGATGCGCATAAAGCAATGTTAAAGGACCTAAACCCCAAAATGGGTGAAAGGTGGTTGATGAAAGAGCATAACAACAACTTTATCAATTGGTTTCAAAGCAAAATATTTTCAAGTGACAATGCCTCTGATACACTGAAATGGCTAGCACATGGGCCTAGATATAATGTTATAACTTGGCAAGGGTATGACATTAACAAATACTCATTCTATACGAAGGCACAAGATGACAAAAGTACGGTCCAGAATAATGGAGTATATATTGAGGCAACATCTATGCACTTTTCTAGTGCAAAGGACAAAAACCCCATCATGACATCAATTAGTTACTTTGGAGTGATTGAGGAGATTTGGGAGGTCGACTATACTAAATTCAAAGTGCCTTTATTTAAATGTAAATGGGTTGATAGCAATACTGGTGTCCAAAGAGACCAAATGGGATTTACTTTGATTGATATAAACAAGATTGGTCATAAGGAAGAACCCTTCATAATGGCATACCAAGCAAAACAAGTGTTTTATGTCACTGATCCATCAAATGATAGGTGGTCAGTTGTCCTCAAAGGAAAAATGATTGATGTCACAAATGAGAATGGAGAAGAATTAGATTATTTTATTAACATTCAAAGTTCACCACGGTTGCCTATTGCTATATCCCAATTGGAAGAGGACTTTGTTCATGCTACTCGCAATGACCATGATGAAGGCATATGGGAAAATATTAATACAATCTAAGTTATGTTTCTATTTATTTATTTTTTTAACATGTAATTGAGGAGACTTTGCATGTGTATTGATATAATTCTATGTTTTTTTCATTACAGGTAAATAGCATCTCCTCCACCATCTCCTCCACCATCTCCTCAGGCATCTGGAAAGACATTTTCCAGTAAGAGGAGTCGACAATCTACACGGTTGAAAGGCTTGACCGTTAGACACATATCTGGCCAGAAGTTATCTGTTTCTGTTGATCCTAGGACTGGCAAGGTGTCAGGTCCCTTCAGTACCCAATTTAGAAGCTACTTGAGTACACTAGCTAGAGAGAAGGTATTTATTCTATTTCAAAGTTAATTTCATTTCAAATATATTGTTGATATTTATGTTGTTTATGTTGTGTAGATATCTATTCTCCATCCTACTTAGGATCATGTGGAGGAAACTATGAAGAACTTGTTATGGCAAGATCTTCTTGTAAGTATGTGTATTTAGTTGTTTATATTGTTTATACATTATTATCAATTGATTAACTAAAACTTGTTTGCTACTGTAGGAACACTTTGATTTAGTTAATTCTGAGGATGTGAGGAGGAAGATAATGACAGTCATAGCAAAAATGTGGAGACAGTTCAAGTCCACATTGACCACTAAATGGGTGTATGCTGAGGACAAAGTTAGCAAGGGATTAACCCCTTGCCAAAGATATGGCATAGATGAGGACACTTGGAAGAAGTTTGTACATAGTAGGACTGGTTCAGAGTGGGAGGTAATAGCTTATGGCTTAATTGACTTGAATATTTCATAATGAGTTGTGTATCTAATATTGTGTTCAATTATGTTGCAGGAAAGAAGACAAAAAGCAAAAGACATTCAGAGGAAGAATGTCGCCCCCCACCTTCTGTCTCGTGGGGGGTACGACTTATTGACTAAGAAGATGATGGAGGAGAAGAGTAGACTTTGACAGTCGGAGTTAGCCTCTTCTGGTTTAAGCGAAGAGCAGATTCCTCCACCATCTCCTCCAAAACGTCACCAGAAGTGGAAGAGGGCGCGTACAAAGCCTTCTGGTGACATGACGTCGCTGGAAGCCCGACAAATTGCTGCTCAGATTGTAAGTAAAAGAAGTTAATTTACTTTGAATTAGTTATATGTAACATGTTCATTAATAAAATTAACTTTTATAATGTAGGATGCCTTGGAGGAGCAGTGTACACAGGGAACTTTCATCCCTTCTGGTCGTCAGGATATCTTGACCACTGCTATTGGACGACCAGAACATCCAGGTCGTGTTCGAGCTGTTGGCCAAGGTGTGGGTGTCCGACAGTATTTTGGACCACCATCACAGGATATCCGCACCTCCACATCCCCGAGCCAAGAAGATATTGCTGCCCTGGAGATGACTCTCACGCAGAAATTGACACCGACCATCAGGGCAAAATTGGAGGAAGAGTTAACTCCTGCCATCAGCCGCACGACTTGAGGAGACCATCACTCGCACGTGTGCAGGAGCAGCTCTCGCGTATGACCTCCATGGGTACTTCATTTGCTCGATGCTCATCCTCCATCAGGTGCATTTTCAACCACAAATTGGTACTTGACTTGTGTTTCTAAAATCTTAGTCCTTATTGGAATTTACTCGTATTTGTAGGTCCAAGAGTTAGCACAAAGGGCAGTTGTGCTTGAAGCCACTATCGAGGTCATACCCGAGGTGGCATCTATTCATCCCGAATCCACAAAGGATGATCGATATGGCTTGTGGGTTGAGGTAGATGAAGGTCTAAGACTAGTGGCCCATGGATCAGTTCATGAAGGGGCTTCAACCATCCACAATGTGCCTTTGGATCCTAACTTGGTCAAAGTAGTGGTTGAAAAGGTGGTTGACGCCGCGGCTAGTGTCCCTATCCCCACCGATGAGGTGCGGACAATGGGCCAAGCCCTTCGGACCTTCATTACTTGGCCCCGACATTTAGTTAAGTCAATCATGGCAAAGGTATGTATATGTATGGTTATAATACATCTAACACATAAAAAAATTGATTTATTGTTTATGATTATATTTTATAAAATATGTAGGATGTTCGACAGACCAAAAGACTTGGGTAAAGTTATTGCCACTCCTTCCGCATCTAAGGAGAAGACACCAGTTGTGGAGACTTCTCCAAATCCAATTTTTGATCTCTTGTCTCTTTCCCCACAATTATATATGCAGTCATTCCAAGTTCCATGGGATTGTACATTATTTGGGATGGCTTCTAGCAATATCCCCCTATACATTTCCCACACTGATGCCCTGGAGATTGGGATGGGCAATCAATGTCTAAATATAGCTGTTTTACAATTTTGGACATTGTAAGTTCATATCTTTCATGACTCTTTTCATTTTAGTAAATATATAAGCTATAAGTTCACTTAAATTGGCATATTTTAGGATGATGCACGAAATGATAGTGGAGCAGGGCATTGGTCATGTGTATGGATTCTTCGAGCCTCAATGCATACAAAAGTCTGGGAATAAGCGTGATCAAATTCTCAGTTACATCCAGAATTGGATGACTGTTTCTAAAAGAGATATTTACCTTGGATCATACCATCATTCGTAAGTTATCCCAGCCTCTTCTGGTTTTACACAAGTTTTTTTAATAGATTCTAATCATGTGTATATACGTAAACCACTGGCAGCTATTAGTTATTTGTCCAAAGCAGAATCTTGTGTGTTGGTTCTGCTCATTGGGAAGAAAACCTGGACATGGAGCTAAAAAATATTGTAAACGAGTAAGTATTTATTATATTATGTCTAAACATCTTGATTATTCTATTTCTAATCCCCTTATTTTCAATATATAGTGCTTTAAAGGTTTGTAGTACATTAGATGGAAAACACACAAGTAAAAGCACAGACTCCAAATTGGAATTTTATCAAAGTAAGTAGCCTTTATATATATTATACTATCTATTAATTTATGTTCAAATTTAATAGTTATTTTTAACATATTTACTCATTTTTAGTGTAACAAACAAAATGGAGGCTACGAGTGCGGCTACTATGTAATGTATTGGATGTGGCTCATCATTTTTGGTTGCATTCGGGATAGTTGGGACGAGGTAAGTTGACATTTGCTATTATATTCAATTCCTTTATTTTTATTGCTTAGGGTTTACCATTCTATTATTGTGAACTTCTTACAGGCATTTAAAGATATAGAACCTTTGCCTATGGATACTATAGACATGGTTCGAAACAAATGGGCAGAAAAGTTTGTACAAGTAGTTAGGAATAATAGGATTGATTGATAATTTTTGTGTATTATGTACATAATGTGTCTGGACTGAGATTTTTGTGTATTGTGTAAATATATAGTGATTATGTGAAAAGACCTGGCTGAGATTTTTGTACATTGTGTATATATTGTGTAAATCTGGCTGGACTGAGATTTATATAGCAGGTCGTGTATGGTAGCACAAAAACAGACCAAAATTTAAAAAAAAAAGGGGATATTCTACGTCGGTTATTGCATTAACCGACGTTGTAACGTCAGTCGCTTGAGCGAAACATTGGTCGCTTGAGCGAAACAGCACCCGAGAGCACCCTTTGTTTGAAGGCTTCGTCGCTCAAGCGAGTAACCGGTCGCTTGAGCGAGAAAGGACTTTCAACGTCGGTTAGTTCAATAACCGACGTAGAATTTACTCATTTCTACGTCGGATTTGTATTAACCGACGTTGTAATGTCGGTCGCTTAAGCGAAACGTGGGTCGCTTGAGCGAAGCAGCACCCGAGAGTCCCCTTTGTTTGAAGGCTTCGTCGCTCAAGCGAGTACACCGGTCGCTTGAGCGAGTTCAACGTCGGTTAGTTCAAGAACCGACGTAGAATTTAGTCACTTTCAACGTCGGGTATGATGAACCGACGTAGAAGCCTTTGACATTCAACGACGCCTGATTCAACGATGTCATCGGAACCGACGTTGAAAGCCTTCTACACCCGACGTTGAATGCTCATTCTGCAGTAGTGCATACCAAAAAAAAAAAAGTGTTTAGCATGTATTTATTTTGAATTTAAATTATGCATGTGATATATGATTTTTATCACCTCTAAAACATTGTTGAAGTAAAAAAAAATGTGGTAAACATAATTTTTAGAAGTGTAGAAGACATCTCAGAGACTTTCCAGCGACCAAAAGATCAAAGGCCTCGTTTATCTCCTCTACTGGAAGCTCGTGAGTGATAAAATCATCCAACTTCACCACCTAAGTTCAGGGCATAGAAATGTGCATCAATTCATTAGACTGCAATTAAATTTAAAGTTATAAATGAAATAATATAATTTTATTTTTATTAGACCATAAATTTTATTCAATTTTTTATAAAAAGGTGATATGATATGAGAATGGTAGTGCTTACTCCATTCATGCATTCTTGGGCAAAATGTGGTAATTGAGTCTTCCCTTTGAAGCCTCCAAAAACTGATCCTACCATTCTGCGACCCTGGAACAGCTCCATTGGGTGGATAGGAAGCAGGTTTGGTGATGAATGAATCCCTAATAACACAGTCAATCCCCAACCCTGCATCACCAAGCATAAAAGAGTAAAGAAAATTATTATAGCTCATCATGGCATCTTCAAATTTATCTATCATTTTTCTTCATGCTGAAAACTGTCACTAATATGTTTGATGTGATGATTAAGATGTTTCTTTAAGCAAATTTAACATTCTATGTTGGAGTTACGCTTAAGAAACTAAATTTTCAAGTGAGGGAAGTTAGTGTATTTTAAATTTCACTAAAATACTCTAATTTAAAATGTTAGAATATGGATAGGTTGAGATGTGATTTTGTTATAGGTGTTGAAATGTATAGGATTTGAATTGATATATAGAATATATGAATTAGAATTGTGAATTTGAAAGTGATACATCATGAGATATATATTTTGATTTTAATGGTTGAACAGGTACAGTGATTAAGTGTTAATTAGGAATTACAATCATTGAATTGAGTTGATACTTTGACTTGGTTTATTATGGGATTAAAGTATGTATATTATTACTTGTTTTAAAATAATTGTTCTAAATTCTAACAACAAAATTAAGTTGGTTAAATTAAATAGTATTTTGACGAGAGAATTATAAAAATTATTTGATAGTTATTCTACAATATTTTGATTTTATTTAATTTGTTCAAGTGAAAACGAGGTCACGAGAAATGATTTAATTTTTGTAGATTAAATTTATTTAAGTGAGATTATTTTTCTCAAGCAAAATATTCTTAGAGGAGAGAAAATTGATATAATATAGTTTTGCTTAAGTGATATTTTGGTTGGTCAAGCGAAATATTTTTTTTTTTAAGGGAAAATGAACTTGAGGGTCTATGCTAGAGTCCAAAACTTAAGTTATAGTCCCTAGCTTGAGTTAGGGAGTTCAGAGAACTTGAGCAACATTTAAAATTTAATTGTAAGTTTTGATGATTGTTCAGTTTTATTAAATGATAATTTATGTGATTTATATTGAATAAATATACATTGAGCATGAGAAGGATGAATTAGAAAATGTTATTTGAAAATATGAGTTGTGTGGTTTTATATATGATATTGATTAAACTAGTACTTCAAAAGAGGTACTCCTAAGTTAGTTAATTAGAGTGTGAGTATTAAATTATGTAGCTTGATTAATTATAAGAGATATTCAATTTTATTGATATCCTTAAATAACATATATTAAGATATCATATGATATGATAAAGAGTCAATAGATATTATTGTCAACTAATAGGGTGAAATTGTATCATCAACTACTAGTATACTTAATAAGAATTATCCTATTAAAAATATATGTATCATATCTATTGAATATACGTATGATAAAATGTTAGTATCTATGTTTGAACTTAATATAGTTTTTCCAAAGTTGTCAAAGCTTTTGTGGTACCTATTTATAGTGACATGATGGAGCGCCCTGATGAGACTTAAATATTTAAATATATATATATATATATATATATATATATATATATATAAAAAAAAATTTAGTGTTTAATATTTATATATGTTTTTTAAATCACTAAAAATTATGATGTCATCATTGAATTTAAAATGTAATAGAGATATTATAAAATGAAGCCATAAAATAAGGTATATAAATGAAGACATGTACATATACCTCATGTGCTGACAAGAAGGCATCCCTTAAAACGTTTAAATTTCCAGCACATTCAAAACTATAGTCCACGCCCCCACCAGTCATTTCCCTTATCCTCTGCCAAAAACAATATACCATTTTGCTTCTGAAAATGCACATAAAAATCTTTTTTTTTCTAAGAAAAATTTATTCCATATTTTTTTGGTCTTTCCTTCTAAAAATATATGAATTTAAACCTAATTCATGTTTAAACTTAAAAAATCAATTTCTTCTTATTTTCTTAATGAAATGACATAAATAGACAGGGCATCCAGAATTCTAACCTCATACACTGCTCTCTCATCATCCCTTGGATTTACAAAATCAGTGATGCCCATTCCACGCCCTTTGATAAAATGCATCATCATATTACATGATATTAGCATTTTATTCATGTAAAATTCTATATGTTATTAATAAATAATTTAATTTATTAAGTTTAACTACTAACAAATATTATTTGAAACAAGTGAATATTGGTTAAAATAATTAATAAATAACTTAATAAGTTATAAATATATATATATATATATATATATATATATATATAATATATATAGTTACGACTCTTAACACATTATTGTTGGAAGAGAATGAATGTCAAAAAATAAGACGACATGATTGAAGAAATTTCATACGATTTCATATGAATAAATTTATTCATATTTTATAAATCTAAGTATTCTTCTCACAATAATATAATGTAATATATTATAGTGTTTATTTTAAATATTTGTAAAATTAAATTAAAATATCCAAAATTATAAGTTTTGGGTTAAAATATTTTGTCATATATAAATATTTATGTTTAATATAATTAAAATATTTTTTTAGTGTTCGTACATTACTAACTATATCGTTAAATTTTTAATTATTGTAGTCAAAAGATTCATTAATTACATATTATATAAACTACCAAATGATAGGTACGTTAACATGTAATTTTATTTTAATTATAAATAAATTCAACCATAAACTGTGACGAATGTTTTTTTATAACATAATAATATTACTGTGCAAGAAAATTTTCTAACGAAGTTTTTCTCCTGTACAGTAAAATTCTTCTTTTATATATGGACATACAAAAAGGGATGAGGCAGGAAATTTCAGTAAATAGTTCTCTCTCTCATCTCCTTCTTTTTTTGTCTAAATTTCAAGCAACGAGACTCTACTCATGCAGGATCTGGTGAAACGGAAGAGAACTTGAATTAAGTGGAAAAATTTCGGTAGAAATATCACACCAGGTAAGGGGAAATTTAATTCATTCAATATATGAGACTGAATTGTTGAGTACTTTGTAAATAAGGAATAAGAGTGAAAATCTGAACATTAGAATGATTGATTTTGAAGATTTCTCATATTTTGCAAAATTTGAAATTTTGTTGAAATTTCTTGAAATTAAGGATGAATTATATGGTAAAATTGTTATTTTTCAACTTAAATTAGATATAAGTCATGTTTAATTTGAATTTGGGACTAGTTTGGTTGTCTAAAATTGAGTAATTTAAAATCTGTTAAAATCTACAAAATTTGATTCTGTTACTAGACGTAAGGAAGAAGAAAGGGATATGGAAGAAATTTTTGAAAATGTTCAAGGGTAAAATAGTCATTTTCGGGACATGGAAGGAATTTTTGAAAAAATCCAAGGGTAAAATAGTCATTTAGGGACATACATGAAATTTTCAGAAAAGATTAAAGACAAAATAGTAATTTAATGATTTCGAAAATGATTTCGGAAATGATTTTGAGGAAAAAAAAAGAATATATATATTTAAAATATAGAATGAAAGTAGCAGTTATAAAGATTCAACAGTGTGTTGTGACGTGTGTGAGTCAGACTGAGTCTAAGGGCTCATGCCCATAATCAGTCATGAGATGTTATGTATTGGCTAGACTGAGTCGGAGGGTTGGTGCCCAGAATTAGTCAAATACTATTATTTATTAACCTGAATGAGCCATGAGAACAGGTGGTCCAGAATCTGGCATATATGTGAATTATTTTTGTTGTATTTGAATGGTACCTGAGGTGGTACAAAGTACATTAGTGTAATAACTATGTCTGAGGATTCTGAATGAGGTCTCATACTTCACTGATTGGTCGGGTCAGGTAGACTATGAGATCAGGTGGTGAGAAGCCGATGGAGGATGACTGGTGGTGCACTTGAAGGGGTACTCTAGTATGAGTGATGAAGGACGCCAGTAATCCTACTCTGTGTGGAGGGTGGTCAGAATGATATTGCGGGTGATGATCACAATGTGCCCACAAATAATAGTCTCTGAGTTCGGGCATAGTTAGGGTAGACTTCCGGAAGATGTCTTAGTGTATTGATGATTTGTAATTGATGATAATATGTAATTCTTACTTCTGTTTTATTATATCGAATGATTTAATACTTACTCCTATTTTTTCATGTGGATGAGACTGTGATTATCACTTTTTATGTGGGAGCAGATTATGAGTTGAGAGGTGGAGATGTGACTACTGGACAGTAGGGATAGTTCAGTGGGGTAATTTTGTGGGAGCTACTTTTGCATGTATCTGTATAAATAAATTATATTACTATATTATGAGATTCCACCAAATGAACCGGATTTCAATCTATATTACAATTACAAGTAATATAATGATATAAGTATTGTTATTTACTTATTTACTATCTTGCGAAGATATCATTATTATAATGATTTTTAGGGTAGTTACATAAATTATTATGAATAATTGTAAAAATTAGAATGCATAAATTGTTTTTTCAAATAATACTTAAAATCACACATACTTAAATATATACATCATGGAATAATTTATATAACATAAAATTAATAATTTCTTTAATAATAATAATTAAAAATTTATGAAAATAATTAATAATTTATAAACATTAAATAAAATATTTTAATAATATTAAACACAATTTATCATTTTCAAAAGAATACGTGAGACAATTACCTTTGATAAATTTGTCAGAGTTGATATCCACTCCAATTATTTTGGATGCACCTCTTGCTCGTGCCCCTTCTGCAACCTAATTATTTTGTAATAAATATTATTTTCTTATTCATTTGGAAAAGAAAAATAAAGAGAGAGGAAAATTGATATAAACAAAAAGAGAAAATATTTTAATATATCTTTATTATTAAAATTTTGACAATTATACTAACTACTTAATTTAACTATTGTAATCAAGTTTAACAAAATTCTTAAATATTCTTATATTATTTCATTTGCAGAAAGTTAATGAAGAATAATTAATAAAAATGAATTTTCACTTACAGCGAGACCCACAGCCCCTAAACCAAAGACAGCTACAGTTGAACCAGAATGCACATTCGCGGTGTTCCAAGCAGCTCCAACACCTACACATTTTTCATTTTTTATATTTTAAAGAAAAAACTTAGATATATTTTGATTGAGAAAATTTGATTTTGATCCGATAAAACTTTTCCTTTATTTTTTATACTATAAACTTTGAAATAATTATTCTTAGTCCCTGTAATATATATGAATATTGATTTTAAGTTTTATAAAGATTTTTTTTCCAAATTTTAAAATTATTAATTTTAATCCTAACATCCATTTAAAAGTGAATAAATATGTATTTTATAAATCATAACATTAATAAACATTACTTAAAATTATTATTAACTTTTTCATTCAATACATAATACATAATATTAAAAAATAAATTATATGTACTTAAAAATATTATAACCAAAAACAAAATACGCTTATTTTAAAATACTCAAAACATATTTAAATATATTTCAAATGTATAATTTTTATCAAAATCTCAAATTTTGTTTATAATAATAATAATAATAAATTTTAAAATAAAATAAAAAATGGTTGTTATTTTTAAAGAAAAAGTTAATTTTATAATAAAAATTAAGAATCAGAATTATATTTACCTATATATTATAATATTATTTTATATTTAATTAATATATAATTTTATTTTATTTTTATTTTTTCACTTCGAACTCATAGTTTTATAATAAAATTTATCCAAAAAGTACAGATATAATGTATATATTTATTATTTATAAAAATAAATTTTAGTTAATTTTTTATTTGTGTGTCGCTTTCTTCAATTAATGTATTTAGTTTTTACTTAATTTTATATTTTCACCTATCTATATTTTTTTTCTATTATTTATTTCCTCCACAAATAAAAGTGTAGAAAGTTACGAAAGAATCTCGTGATCATCGTCTTTATTTGGGAAGAAACTAACAAAAAAGAAATGAAAAGGAAATTTACCAACAAACAAAGCTCAAGCACAATTATTTCTATTTGCTTCTTATAAGAACAAAATACCTAACATTCTCTATTCAAAATTTAAGAAAAGGGGATACATAATACCTAACATTTCTGAATGTTTTTTTTTTCTTGTTTTTTAATTATCTGTTTGAACAATTCATTGTCCAACAGCATAAATTATTCTTTGTGTTGCAAACCTTGTATTGAATTCATTTAGTCAAAATTTCCAGGGTGAATAATTTTAATATTTTGTGAAGAAATAAAAAAAATTACAATATCATTCTTGCACCAAATATATGGGTTAAGTTATCTTCATCATTATATAGTTTATGATTTTGAATAATCTCTAATGATATAAAATAAACTCTTTAAATTTAAAAATAATAATAATAATAACCTATATAAATATTTACTTATAAAATAATATCAATTTACTTATAATGTATTATTTATAAATATAAAATTAACCTAAATATAAATAAATTATATGTATGAATTATCATATAAAAATTACTTGTCAAAAAGTAAATACATCCATACATTGATAATATTTTTATTAAATTTAATTAACATATTATATGTTTTAATACATCAAAACATTCTGAGTTTCTTTATGTTAATAGGATTAGTCGATAAAACATTTTGTAAGTAAAAAAATTTAAAATATAATACAATAATATTATAAAGTTTTAAAAACTTTTATTATTTGTTCTGGTGTAGCATTTTTCTAATAGATAATTAAAGTCAGTACATATTCCAAATGTGGTGATACACGAAGTTTTGAGTTGTGGTGGGTCTTCAATTTAAATAGGGAAAACAAAACTAACCATCTAAAGACAGATCCCAAAAACAAATTATAATGTAAACAATCCACAACAGATTTAGAAGTAACATGAAACTTGATTTTTAAAAAGAAAAAACAATGCCAAACCCTACCAAAACATTTAATGTAGTTTCAATGTTTTAGCAAATTTAAAGAAGGTTTTCTTAAACACTTTCTCCAAAAGGGCAAATAAAGTATACTATCATAAAAATTTAATAAAGTGAATAATAAGGCATCATATCTTTTGAAAAAAATAAGTCAACAATTCTTGTCTTTTTTTTTTTTTTACTTCTAACTTACTAAAAATGGGATAAATGAATTTGTGTATTATAATTAGGAAGAATTATAGATCCAAATCATCTTATTAAAACTAATGAATAAGTAGACTAGTCTTTCATATTATATATATATATATATATATATATATATATATATATATATTAAATATATATTTAATTATAGGAATATTTTTAAAATTTTATTTATTAATTAATATTTTTATTAGAGAGATTAAAAAATTAATATATTTATATATTAAAATAATTAATTATAATAAATAATTTAAATTTAATGAATTAATTTTATTAATTAAAATTATAATATTATAATATATTTATATATTTTAATAATATAACATAAAAAATATAACATTTTTAATTATAATTTTATTTATTTTAATTTTAATATATAAATATATTTTTAAAATTGATCAATTCGTCAAGTTAGGTGAGATAGGTTAAAACGAATTGACAGGATAGGTGAACTAATGAACCAAACTGATAATTTATTTTGTGATGCTTGACTATCTATTTTTTTATTTATAAGAAACTAATAATTGAATTGACACGGTTAAAAACACGAGGTAATTGTGTTTTAATATTTATTAAAAAAATTATATTATATAAAAGGAATAAGAATTAATTCTACTTTAAATTATTGAGGTGGTGAAAGATGGTTCCTTACCCGTGGAAATGCCACAACTAAGCAAGGTGAGTGTTTTGATGTAGGGCTTGAGGTCTCTATCGCCATTAGGATGAATCTTGACGACGCATGCTGAATTAATCACTGTGTACTCTGTGAAAGTTGAAGTGTTCAAGAAATGGAAGATGGGTTTTCCATCCATGGTGGAAAACCTTGTGGCACCATCACAATCCATCACCTTCTTCTCCCCATCCACTCCAAACCTCTCACACTTGTTGGTCTTCTCGCACTTGCAATATTTGCATTCCTCACATTCTCCATTGAAAATTGGCACCACAAAGTCCCCTTCTTTCATGTCTCTCACACCTTCCCCCACACTCTCCACAATCCTACAAACCATACAATCACAACTTTTCTCATTTTTCAGATCATGCAACATTTTATTCTAGAATAAATTATTATTATTATTATTATTATTATTATTAATTTTCTAATGAGAAATATAATCATTTCTGTTTTTTCCACGAATTAAAATTATTTTAGTTAAATTTATGAAATTCTTTTTCTTTTAATTTGTCTAGAAATCTTCGTTTCAAGTTGTGTTTATTTCTAATAATATATTTCGTAGGAGTGAACCACTTTTATTTTTTATGAATAGAGTAAATTTGAAAGCACAAATTAAAGTGAATAGAATAAATTTGAGAGTACATATTAAATTTGAAAATCTAAATTTGAGAATACATATTTTTTTGAATAGAGTGAAACACTGAAAATCAATTATCACTAAAAAGATAATTTGGTCATCTTTAACTTTATTCTATTAAAATATTTGTCTTATCATTTACAAACTTTTACAAATTATCTTCTCACTTTCTTACATTCTTTATTAGTTTTTTCTTAATTCAAACAATCTCACTTTGAATTCTCTTTGAAATCTATTATTTTTTTACTCCCTTGAATCCATCATTTTATCCAAATAAAATAAGTTTCTTTTATAAATTAATAATTTAATGCACCTAGTTACTAAATAAACCTTTTGGAAAAAAACAAAGAGTGTTATAAAGTGAAAGAATATAGAAAGCGGACAATCATTTCTTCTATATAAAATTGATAATTTAAATGAACTTTATAGATACAAAAATTTTAAAAAATAAAAAATAAAAACCAATCAGCTCTTCTATAAAAAATAATCATTAATATGTTATATTCAGTACAAATAAATAGTAAGATTGTATAAAAATCTATTCATGAATGTTGTAATTAGTCACCGTTGAATCAATTTTCTGTGACCTACCCGGAAGCTTCATGGCCGAAAATCCGAGGATAAGCACGTTGAGCCTCATTCTTTTGTGCCCCATAAAATAAGGAAAATGAAAAACAACGTCAGATAGCTTAATCATGGTTGACTGCGGTATATGAAATTCAAATTTTGTTGATAAAACCTATATATTAATGTATGGATACCTTGCCTTGCCAAGCACTGAGATCGGTGTGACAGATTGAAGTGAAGAGGATCTTGATTCGAACCTCCATTCTGTGAGGAGGATGAACAAGAACACGTTCTAACACAAAGGGTTCTCCAGGACCATATGCAACAGCAGCTTCATGATGAAAATTGATGATGGATTGCATTATTCAAGATTGAAAAACATGATCTGAAAAGTATAAACTTGCTGGTGTTTATCATTACGTACCTTTGCAAGTAATGGTCTTTCGCTTGGTATCATTTGGATTGAAGTTCCCAGTACCAAACTCTTCACCTGCCATATCTTCTTCCTCTGAATTTTGTCAGCGACTTTTTTTTCTTTTTGTTTTCTTTGTGTGTGTTTCTCTACCAGAGAGTTCAATCACATGCAACAATCGAAGCTATGATAAAAATGAACAAATAGGACGGCTAAATAGGAGGATTTGGAGTTTTCTCACTTGAAAGCTAACACATGTGGGGGGGTTTTCACGTACCACGTGCCTAGGGAACTTGTTTTCCACGAAGTACCTTTTTGAATGTATTCAAGTTTTAACATTCTCAAAAACATTGTAATAAAATCCAGAAAGTACTTTCTAAAATGTATTCAAGAAATAATCTCCTTCAAAATTTAGTTTTTGAAAACTATTTTATAAAATGTTAAAACATTAATATATTCAGAAAGTACTTTTTAAATTCACATTTTCAAAAAGTACTTTCCAAATGAAGAACATTTTTTGTGGAGGGTCCAAATCACCATTAAAGCTCCTAAATAAAATTAAATGACTTTTGTGGAGGGTCCAAATACCATTAAAGCTCCCAAATAAAAGTTAAAAGATTTTGTGGAGGGTCCATCATTATAGTATAGCTCCCAAATTAAAATTGACCCATGAGACAACAAATCATGTTTTTATTTTTTTCTTACCATTGATTTACGTATAATATATACTTAGCATTGATTTACATATTAAATATATTTTTCTCTTAGCATTGATTTACATATTAAATATATTTTTATCTTAGCATTCATTTACATATTAAATATATTTTTATCTTATCATTGATTTACAGACATAGTAGATGGTTTTAGGATAATGTTTTATATGTGTGGGTATTATTATTATTATTATTATTATTATTATTATTATTATTATTATTATTATTATTATTATTATTATTATTATTATTATTATTATTTATTCATCAATAAGTCTATTGAAGCAAATTTCAAACTCCAACGTAAGAACCAAAGATTGTCGCAGCCGACATCATTTTTTTCATGAACAAAAACTACACAATGTTCCAAATCTAACCATTGAAGATTAATTTGTGTTCATATATAATGTGACTTTCACTAACCAAATCATTATTTTAATATTATGGGAATAGATATTAAAATCCCTAGCTGAACCCCTGCCATCTGACAGCGTATATAAGCTAAATTAATAACATAACAATGTCGTTTATGGAATTAAGTATTCATATTTAGTGTAAATGCATACTAATTAAAAAAAGATGAGTTCTAATAATAAAGTTTTTAATGTGCAAAGCCAAGATGTATAAAAAGAATTAATTAGCTGTTAATCCAGTAAAGCTAAAAAGGACAGAAAATAGGACAAAATTTAGATGCAATTTTTGGTAGTTAGTAAAGAAGAGATAATATAATAAAATTGTTTGTGCTATTATCCAATAAGAATTTAAGTTTAATATCAGTCATATATATAAAATTTTATTACGTAAAATATTGAAAATTTCAATTTTTATTAGAGAAAATATCATAAATAAATTAATTTTTGAATAAAAATATTTTTTTATTTTTATAATTGATAAATTTTTGTTGAATCTTTCAAAAGCCTTACAATAAGACAATAACTCAATTCATATGAGATTGATACCATCTTTAATCTAAAATGGATTATAATTATAGTTTTTTTTATGATATTCAACTTTCACATCTTTAGTATAAAACTTATACTCAAACTTAAATTATCTAAAAAGTTTTTCACAATAATTGACGATAAAAAGTTAATTAACAATTCAGAATAAAAAGTTAATTTCTATTCTCTGCACCTCGCCTTATGGGATAACTGCTCTTTCTTTATTTAATGATTGATTAATTTAGATTTGGAATGTCATTATCTGAAAAAGTATTTTAAATTCTCACTTGCACAAACAATGGTTGTTTTAGTTTAATGACAAGGTACATGTTAACACAGTGGTCAATGAGAAGCTGCTAGGCCAATGTCCAAAAGAAATTGCCAATGTTTCGTGGAGAATATGGTTGATTATTATTATTATTATTATTATTATTATTATTATTATTATTATTATTATTATTATTATTATTATTATTATTATTATTATTATTATTATTATTATTATTATTATTATTATTATTATTATTATTATTATTATTATTATTATTATTATTATTATTATTATTATTATTATTATTATTATTATTATTATTATTATTATTATTATTATTATTATTATTATTATTATTATTATTATTATTATTATTATTATTATTATTATTATTATTATTATTATTATTATTATTATTATTATTATTATTATTATTATTATTATTATTATTATTATTATTATTATTATTATTATTATTATTATTATTATTATTATTATTATTATTATTATTATTATTATTATTATTATTATTATTATTATTATTATTATTATTATTATTATTATTATTATTATTATTATTATTATTATTATTATTATTATTATTATTATTATTATTATTATTATTATTATTATTATTATTATTATTATTATTATTATTATTATTATTATTATTATTATTATTATTATTTGTTGCAGGTAGCATCAATTGTCCTGTGACGAAGGTCAGGTGGTAGAGTCACAATTGAATCGATGGCGCTTGGGTCGTTAAAGTAAAAAGAGTTGCGCTCCGACTAATGGCTATAGCTTTTGGCCTAGTGGTAAGCGCTCGATCCTTACAATTGGTATCGAGTCAAGGTCACGAGTTCGATTCCTGGTGGGCAATTGTTGCAGGTTGCACAATTGTCCCGTGGCGAGGCCGGGTGGGCCAAGTCACAATCCAAGAGTGGGATACCTTGTAGGACAATTGCTGAGGGGAGATTGTTGCGAGGTAGCATCAATTGTCCTGTGACGAAGGTCGGGTGGGCCGAGTCACAATTGAATCGTGGCGCTTGGGCTGTTACTCTTAAGTAAAAAGAGTTGCGCTCTGACTAATGGCTATAGCTTTTGGCCTAGTGGTAAGCGCTCGATCCTAACAATTGGTATCAGAGCCAAGGTCACGAGTTCGATTCCTGGTGGGCAATTGTTGAGGGGAGATTGTTGCAGGTTGCACAATTGTCCGTGGCGAGGCAGGGTGGGCCAAGTCACAATCCAAGAGTGGGATACCTTGTAGGACAATTGCTGAGGGGAGATTGTTGCAGGTAGCATCAATTGTCCTGTGACGAAGGTCAGGTGGGCCGAGTCACAATTGAATCGTGGCGCTTGGAGTTGTTAAAGTAAAAAGAGTTGCGCTCTGACTAATGGCTATAGCTTTTGGCCTAGTGGTAAGCGCTCGATCCTAACAATTGGTATCAGAGCCAAGGTCACGAGTTCGATTCCTGGTGGGCAATTGTTGAGGGGGAGATTGTTGCAGGTTGCACAATTGTCCCGTGGCAGAGGCCGGGTGGACCAAGTCACAATCCAAGAGTGGGATACCTTGTAGGACAATTGCTGAGGGGGAAATTGTTGCAGGTAGCATCAATTGTCCTGTGACGAAGGTCAGGTGGGCCGAGTCACAATTGAATCGTGGTGCTTGGGCTGTTACTCTTAAGTAAAAAGAGTTGCGTCTCGACTAATGGCTATAGCTTTTGACCTAGTGGTAAGCGCTCGATCCTAACATTATTATTATTATTATTATTATTATTATTATTATTATTATATATTATTATAATATTTTAAAATTTGTATGGTCAATCATTTTGCCATCCATGGATTATGATATTATTACTAGTTCAACAAATAACCACCACTTGCTCGCATAGTGTCAAAAATTATCTCTTATTTTTTTTGCTAATAATCCAAACCATAACTAAGAAAGAATGTTATATTTAGGGTTAATAATTGTTCACGGAATGAAGATCAATAAAAAAATCTTTGTCCAATCTCTCTTTTAATTTCAAAGTAAGTAATCTAAAGTTTAGATTAATAATATCTCTTTATTGGCCACGTTTGAAAAAGATACAACCCTCGTATGAGTGTTAGTATCATAATAACTTTAACCAGGTATAAATATTTTCTTTTTTACTTATTTTTATCAATTATTTATTTATTTTAATGAAATATATTTCATGAAAAAATATTTTTATTTTTCCTTTAATACTAATAACGTTATAATTATAAAATAAATAACTTAAAATAAATAATTTTTTTTACATAAAAAAGTAGTTATGGAAACTAATAAATATTTATGACAATATCCTATTTTCATTTTATTTCTTATTTTTTTAATATTTATAAAAAAATTAATAAAAATGAAATTAATGATTTTATTCTATTTAGCAATATAAATAATAATAAAAAAGACAAGATGTTTATAATTATTTATAAAAAAAAAGTTTATTTTTTTAGATATTTTTAAAAATGGAATATTTTTTGGGTCAAAACCTTAATTGAAATTAAAATATTTTATTATTTTTATAAGGTAACCATCAACCTAATATTAATATAAAAACGTTAAGTTAATGTATTTGTTATATGATCCACAAATTATATCATTGTTAGCAAGATATTTTATCCATTATAAAATAACTATTATGCAAGTGATAAGTAACAATTGAATAATTAATTCTTATAAAAAATTATTTAAAATAAGATATTTGTTTTAACAAAATGAAATAATGCAAGTAAGTTATGATATTAATAACATGATAGATAATTAAATTATTTGAAAAGTTATAATATTGTTAGAGAAGTTACATTGATTAATATATTCATGATCTTATCGATTACATTATATTGTTATCATATTTTAAATTATAAAAACAAGCTCTTATTTCGAATCTCATATGCTAAAAAAGAGAAGAATGACAAGACAAACAAAGAGATCCAATTAAAATATAATATTTTGAAAGATGACGGGTGTTGTTTTCGTTAATCAGATGGAAGACAATATGAGGGTAAGGTCATAATGTTCGTGTTGGTCACATGTTTTGTAGCAGCCATGTGTAGTTTACTCTTTGGTTATGATCTTGGAATTAGGGGAGGGGTGACTTCCATGGAACCTTTTCTAATAAAATTCTTTTCTAGTATTTATAAGCAAATGAATCTAACCCACCAGTATTTCAAATTTGACAACAAACTCCTTACTTTGTTCACCCCTTACTTTGTTCACCTTTTCCTTATATCTTGCTGCATTAGTAGTTTCTTTCTTTGCTTCCATCACCACAAGAATGACGGGATGCAAGATCTTAATGTTCATAGGTGGTTTGTTTTTCCTCGTGGGTGCGCTGTTGAATGCTTTTGCCATCAATATTGAAGTGCTTATCATAGGTCGTTTATTGCTTGGTTTTGGTGTTGGATATTGTAATCAGGTGAAACTTCATATCATTTTCAATACTTTGAAGTTTGATTATACAAGTTTAGATGATTTTTCATGATTAACTATGTTAAAAAATTTTCTTTTACTATTCTTATTTCCAATAGTCTATACCTATGTATTTGTTTGAAATGGCCCCAACAACAATAAGAGGTGCACTCAATATTGGATTTCAAATGATGATCACAATTGGCATCTTAATTGCAAACCTTATCAACTATGAGACTTCCAAACTAGAATATGGTTAGAGAATTTCTTTAGGTATTGGTGATCTTTTCTTCACTACTACAAAATACACTTTCAAAGTCGGTTTTGAGTCAACCAACGTTAAAAGTTGAAATAATATCAAATTAAGAGAATTGTCACTGATAGGATTCGAACCCATTACATTAATGTTAAAAATTGATACTCCAACCACTAAGCTACTAAGATTTTCTGATAATAATTTATAAATAAATTATATTTATATACAAATAAATGTATATCCAGTATAAATATATAAATAAAATATATTTTTATATCTATATATTTTGATATAATTATATATTTATATAGTTATATATTTACATATTTATATGTTGGATGTGAGAATGCGTTCGATGGTGAAAGTGTGTGTCGAGTGGGTTTTCAAAATTTGATGTCAAATTTGTGAGCGAGTCTCTTTATATGAGTTTGTAATTTAATGATAGAATATAATCTTTATAATTTATTTATATAATGATATAAAATAATTTTTTCTTTATTTATTTTTCTTTTATTTTATTCTTTTTATATTTTTTTCTTCAATTATTTAATTGAAATTCTTATATTAAAATAATTTTTTCAAATATTAAAAATAATTAAATATTTATTTTTAAAATTATTTTATTTAATAAATTATTATAAATTAATCAATTGATTAATTTATAATAATCTATGTAAGGAAAAAATTGTTCTATTAATTAGATTAAATTTGGTATCAAATTTTGAAGATCCACTCGACACACGACTTCACCCTCGAGCGCGCTCTCACATCCAACATATAGACATATAACTATATAAATATATCAAAATATATAAATATATTTGTATTTATATATTTTATATTTATATATTTACATAGATATACATTTATTTGTATATAAATATAATTTATTTCTAAGTTATTATCAGAAAATCCTAGTAGTTTAGTGGTTAGAGTATTAGCCTCCGACTCTAAAGTATTGGGTTTGAATCCAATCAGTGACAATTCTCTTAAAACAATATAATAAATAATAAAAATATAATATAAAGGGGAGAGGGACCTCTAGATAAATAGAGGAGGATAGAGGGTATTATAAATAAATAAAATTAAATAAATAAAAAGGGATTATAAAAAAATAAAAAATTCAAACTTTCTACATCGGTTCACTAACCGACGTTGAAAGTCTGCACTTTCAACGTTGCTTGATTCAACGTCGGTTCTGGAACCGACGTGGAAAGCCTTCCAGAACCGACGTGAAATGTGATATTTGTAGTAGTGCTTAGGTGACATACCTAATTCTTTACTTGAAAGAGGTAAAGAAGAAGCAGCCAAGAAAATGTAACAAAGGATTCATGGCCTGGATAATGTTGATGAGGAGTTCCAAGAGCTCATTGATGCGACTAAAGCAGCCAAAGATGTGGAACACCCATGGAAGAACATTACACAACCAAAATATAGACCTCAACTCACTTTTGCTCTCTAACTCCATTCTTCCAACAATTCACTAGTATTAATGTCATCATGTTTTATACACCCGTCCTCTTCAAAATTTTAGGTTTTGATAACAATACTTCCCTTATGTCTTTGGTTATCATTGGAGGTGTTAATGTGGTTGCCACTTTTGTTTCCATTTTCTCCGTGGACAAGTTTGGAAGAAGGATGTTGTTCCTCGAAGGTGACATTCAAATACTTATTTGTCAGGTAAAAAACTTAACTTAGTAAATAGAAAATACTTGTTATTGTAATATTTAAAAAGAATAACATTTTTATCACTCAAGTTAGGTCATTTGTTAGCATGAACAACTACCTTCCAGGCCATAACATCTTTTTGTAGCTTGTTGTTGGAACCATGATTGATATGAAGTTTGGAGTGAGTGGTGAAGACTCGTTTACCTATGGAGAAGCTAGTCTCCTCTTATTCTTCATATGTGCATATGTTGCAACATATGCATGGTCTTGGGGTCCACTAGGGTGGTTGGTTCCTAGTGAAATATGTTCTTTTGAGGTTCGACCTTCTGGTCAAGGGACCAATGTTGCTATAAACATGTTCTTCACCTTTGTTATTGCTCAAAATTTTCTAACCATGCTTTGTCACTTGAAGTTTGACATTTTCTTCTTCTTTGCTGGATTTGTGTTCATCATGACCATTTTTGTTGCCTTGTTCTGAGACAAGGAATGTTCGAATTATTTAGTTTTATTTATTTATAATCCCCTTTATCCTCCTCTATTTATCTAGAGGTCCTCCTCCCCTTTATATTATATTTTTATTATTTATTATATTGTTTGAAGAGAATTGTTACTGGCAAGATTCGAACCCAATACTTTAGAGTTGGAGGCCGATACTCCAACCACTAAACTACTAGGATTTTCTCGATAATAACTTAGAAATAAATTATATTTATATACAAATAAATGTATATCTGTGTAAATATATAAATATAAAATATATAAATACAAATATATTTATATATTTTGATATATTTATATAGTTATATATTTATATGTTGGATGTGAGGGCGCGCTTGAGGGTGAAAGTGTGTGTCGAGTGGATCTTCAAAATTTGATACAAAATTTAATCTAATTAATAGAACAATTTTTTCCTTATATAGATTATTATAAATTAATCAAAATCATCTTTTAATAATTATTTTTTCCAGACATAGATTAACTTATAATAATTTATTAAATAAAATAATTTTAAAAATAAATATTTAATTATTTTTAATATTTGAAAAATTTATTTTAATATAAGAATTTCAATTATATAATAGAAGAAAAAAAGATAAAAAGAATAAAACAAAATAAAAATAAATAAAGAAAAATTATTTTATATCATTATATAAATAAATTATAAAAATTATATTCTATCATTAAATTACAAACCCATATAAAGAGATTCGCTCACAAATTTGACATCAAATTTTGAAAACCCACTCGACACACACTTTCACCCTCGAATGCATTCTCATATCCAACATATAAATATGTAAATATATAACTATATAAATATATAATTATATCAAAATATATAAATATAAAAATATATTTTATTTATATATTTTGTATTTATATATTTACACTGGATATACATTTATTTGTATATAAATATAATTTATTTATATATTATTATGAGAAAATCTTAGTAGCTTAGTGGTTGGAGTATCAATCTCTACCATTAATGTAATGGGTTCGAATCACTCGTCAGTGACAATTATCTTAATTTAATATTATTTCAACTTTCAACGTCGGTTCACTATTTTGTAGTTGTCATACAAGTCACACCTTGAAATAAAATTCACCAATATTTTCATTTCAAAAAGCCAACAAATTTTCTATCATTTTCTACATGCTCTCATTGTAATTAACTAAATCTTACAGTTTTGTAACAAATATACTGATATTATGTATATGGCGGAGGTATTATTAACAATGAAGTTGATGTCAATAGTGATATTAACAATAATGATGATATTGGTGACAACGACAATAAAAATAATAATAACTCTAATAAAGTTGACAATCATAATAACAAAGGTAGAACTTTTGATAATAACAAAAATGACAACGAGGATAATAATTGTGATAATGATGATGAAAGAGGCGTTTCGAAAATACAAAGTTGCAAACAATTTTTAATCATTTGAAAACAAATCTTCATTAAGTATTTTTTTTATATTTTGTTACAATTTATCGTTACTTATGTTAATAATTTTTTAAAAAGATCACATACAAAGAATAAAAAAAATATTTAAAAATTACAAAGACATAAACATTTCTATGGATCAGAAATTAAAATTGGTACCATTACAAGATAAGAAACATGTTGAAACTTTAACTTTTTTTTTTTAAGTTTAGTTTTATGATTGCGATAAAACATTATATGACCACATGTGTGAAGATTTATTTTAGAAGATTAGAAAATTAGAATCAAGCTTTTTTTAATTATGAAATATTAATAAATCATATGCAATGCTAGTATATTTGTTTAAAATTTTTGGCTCCCCACCTATTTTGTTGAAGCTATGTCCCTTGTTATCAATATTATGATTGTATATTTGTCGCAGAAACTTTTACACATTATGACCACTATAGTTGGTGTCGCTTATTGTGTTTCATATATCTCACAACTCAACTTCTTCCAAATATACCACACCATTGTACTTATCTTTTTGTCATAATCTTTTTTATATGTATCCTTATTATAATAGCCATCTATTAAGCCTAAGGATATTCCTTGAGGAAGTTCATCCCCACAATTGCATTAGGTATCGATTCACTCACTATAAAATACATGAACAATATATTTTCTCATAACAAACAATGGGTAACTTCAAAGCTAATATTTCCACCTCATGCACACAACAATTATCGATTTGGTGCTCTTCTTTTTTTTTTCTTTTTTTTTTCAATCTCGCAAGAGTCTTAAGAATGATGTAACCTTTGTACTTTTTTAACTTTCCTATTTCTGACTCATTGAACTACACACCTAGAAGATATAATCTCTATTACATTAAGTTGTCTCACTAGTTACAAAAAAGTTATCACAAAAATAATATCAATACTATTTTCAAACTTCATATACAAGTTAAACATTTCAAGATTAGAGACTACATCTTTCAATGTCTCTAACACATGGCTATACATTATGAAATACTCGAAAGAGTCGCCCTCAAGTCACCACCATATTCTAATTGGATTGGACATATGCATTCAAAAACCTATTTCATAATACCAACAACTTAATAAAAGACAATTTATCACAACCTTCATTTTTTATCATGCTTGTTTGTCCCCCAACATAATCAATTGTAAGTTCTCTTTCAAGGTATCTATCATGGTACATCCTTCTTGAAGGATATCCTTAATACATTATAAATTCAAAAGCAATTTTAATGAGCACAAAATGAAAAGCAATCAACTGAAAACATAGAGTATATAACATAATCGTTTTTAGAGATTCTTCACATAAAAAACCAATAGAAAAACTGCAAATGAAAGAAATTTGATCTTTTGTAATTAAGATGTTTCAGTAGGCTTCAAACATCATCAAGACAAGAAAAAACAAACTTATAGCAATCACCACAAGAAATTTTTCAATTAGCTAGAAAATTTTGCTACAAAATTTATTTTTCACTAATTTATAGCTAATTAGCTATGGAATAGTAAAAGAATAAAGTTGTAGTTAATTTGTAGTAAAATGGCTAGAAGATAATATTTTTGTAGCTATTCCCTCACTTAGTAGAAAAATAATTTAGTTAGAGAAATTTTTTATCACTAATCCCTAACTCTAAATATTAACTATGTTATTTTTTGAAGCTATTTCTAAGCTAAATTATATAATATACAATCATAGTTAAATTGTAGCAAATTTCTAACAAAAAATAATTATAAAATTATTTTTACCAAGTTTACTATAAATATATTAATTATATATATATAAATTATTTTTCTGAAATAAATTATTTGAAAATAATTATAACTTTTTTAAAAAAATATCTAAAAAAATTGATAAATATTTAAAATTATTTTCTGTAAATTTTTTATAAATTTAAATTTGTAGGAAGTATTTAATAATTTAAATTAATAAAAAAATCATAAATAATTTTTTTAATAATTTTTTACATTGCATAATTTATCTAAAACTGTAACATAATTTGTATCTCAGGTCCCTAAAAACATATTTTTCTACGTCATATTACTTATTTTATAATCTGTTTCGCAAATTAAATAAAGTAGATTAAATAATCCACAATTCAGACAATTATTAAATTCTTGAACTAGCATTGTAAAACGGTAGCGTTTGCAATATTTTTCCTCAGGGCGCCAATACAATAAGCTGAAATAGATATCTTTTCCATTCTTACTTCCGTACCAAACAAGTATCCTCTTTTTCTCTTCGCAAAATCAAAATCTCACGCCACAGAGGAACAATCATTCAACTCTTCCAATCCTTCTATTCATAACTTTTTCCCTTTCCTTTAAACTCCAATTTCCTGAGACAAACTATCGTCATTATTTTCCATTCAAAATTCAACACCCTTTCACGACGAAGAAAATGGGTTGTTAGGGTTTTCATTCTCTGTTATGGTCTCTGCATTACGGTTCTCTGCCTCTTCCTCAGCGAACCGTGATCACTTCCATTCCGTTTCACACTCTCTGTCTCTGTTCTTCGATTTAGGGTTCATAATTCTTCTTCCGATTTTGAACCGAGTGAATTGTAGAAAATGTACGCTGATCTCGTGGAGAATGGAGGGCAAAGGTCCGTGAAGGAGCGCCTTAATGGGAATGATACTAGTGGTCCTACTTGGCTGCAGCAACAACGTCAAATCACCGGCAAGAGGTTTGCAATTCTTACTCATTCATGTTTTCATGATGTTTTAGGCTAGGTTTTGAATTCGGTTGTGGTTTCGCCATGTAAATTGATATGGTGGACAATTGCGGTTGTGGACAAACTGTTGGCCACCATCATTTTTTTTTCTTGTGATTGTGGTGCATGTGGAGGAAATATAATTTCTGCTTGTTAATTGTACTATTTTTGGAAGAAAATCTAGGTTGAATTGGTATGGTATCAGTTAGGAGATGTTTGTTGCATACGAGGAATGGTGACATTCTTTAAAGAAATACATGACATCCCTAAAATACTACGATCGGAAACGTTATTTTATAGAAACTAGGGTGTATGATCAGCTTTTGTTATTTTTGTCACCCTGAGTAGTTCTTATAGGTGCTGATCATCCACTTAATTCCGTTAAACTTGTCAGATTCTTTTACAACTATCCCATGATCTAACTCTACGAATAGTGAGGGATTTAGCTGCCATATGATGATGCAAAGTGAATAGCTATTTTAGAAAGGTTTCCGTTGCATATTGAGGGAGCTGAGTCATGATAGATAAAGCATTGTTTAGCAATCCTGCAAAAGTCAATGAGCCTGTGAAAACCACTTCTCTTCTGAAAGGAAATATGCTTCAAGGGTCACATGAAAGATAGTAACTGTAGGAATGAAGTACTAAATGGGTTCCTAAATGATATAGGCTATGACAAACAGGTCCCTGAAATAAAATTTCTTCCACATTAATGCCGAAAGTTTTTCTCTCTTGCGCAAGTTAGTCCTTCTGTTAGTAATTTTGTTAATCCATGTCCATCTTCCATGTTAAATGCCTTTGTGGCAGTTTCTCACTCCTAGGTGGCGTGTCTTGTTATCTAAGTTGAAGATGTCAGAAACTAAGGTCTTTTTTTATTTATTGAAAATCAAAAATTTATTGGATGTTGAATGACTTTATGAGATTATTTCAGAGGCTATGTAACCCCTAAAAACTTATTTGATTGATGAGAACTCGAATAGAGGTGGAGTTTGGGAGACACTGGAGTTGTGGAATGAGGGTGTTCCCCAATGTTGTGATCTACACTGTGTTGATTGAAGGTGATTGTTTGCGTGGAGAAGTGGATGAGGCAAAGAAGATGACGAGTAGGAAGCAATTGAATGGGTTGAAAGACAATGTTGCCACAAATACTAGCTTGTTGAAGGGAATGTGTATTAAGGGAAAGTCTGATGAGACTATTCAGCAATTGAGGGAAATTTTCTTTCCGAGACCTATCAGCCGCCACCCATATCTTTTAAGGAACTGTTTGGTACTTCACTTAATTGTTTAGGTATTCAAATTAATTCAGTCTCTAGCTCACGTCCAATTGCTACATTTTGTCTTTTTTATCTGATTTAATAATAATATTCAACAATGTAACAATTGATGTTCTACCATTATCCTCCTCATCTGACTCTTCTCTTAAGTTTTCTCCCTATTCTCTTCCATTTCTCTCTTTATGATCTAATAGACCTTCTCTTTTATAAACGAATTCATCTTAGAATATATAGGCTTAAAGTCCAACTTAATCCTACAAAAATGTGTTATAAGATGAGAACTGCCCAAGTTTTTATAAAGACTACATCTGTCATATACCTCTACATGATAGGCACTATGGGATCTTAGTTCCTTGAGAACCAACTACCTGGATGCTACACTCAATGACACTTGACAGGGTCTTTCTGGTCATCCCTCTATAGATAGCCCTTTCCAAGGCATTGACCACCAACTGTGATAGATTGCAAATAATCCAGGCTAGGAGTGACAACGATTAGGGCGGATTTCCAAAAATAATAACTTTTTTTGTTATCTTTATTTGCTTTTTATTTTCATGTGTTTTTGTTTATAAATTTCAAAACAATGTGCCAAGATTATGTGTGTCTTCATACTTTTATAGGGAAGGTTTTTGCTTGCTGCTGTAAGTGGCCGCATTTTAGCCTAGTCATATCACTTGGTCCTTCAAGTTGGTTACGAGATGATCGAGCAAGCAGTTAATACTACTGATGGAAATAGTAGTAAATACCAGCCTGAAATTGCATGGAAAAGATGGGAGTTGTTTGTCATGTTGGAGCATGTGCAGGCCCATGTTGCACCAACAGATGTTGATCCAGGGGCCGGAGTGCAATGGCTACCAAAAATTCTCAGAGGATCTCCAAAAGTAATGCGTACAGGCGCTCTTCTTGAGAGAGTTTTTATGCCTTGTGATATGTACTTTCAGTTCACAAGGCATAAAGGAGGAACTCCAGAACTGAAGGTAATTCTTTTTGTATCATTGTAAAATCCAAAGATCCTTGTCAGATGATGTCTTTTATATGAACTTCTGTGCTGAATGATTTGCCACAGATTTGGATAATAGAAACAGCCACCTCTCTAATATTTATGCTATGTACGTGGACAATTTTGAATAAATTATATATCTGTTTTTTACATTGTTTTATTGCTAATTTATGGTATAGGTCAGAGTTTGGACCTTGGTATTTCTCATGTTTCATCTTCATCAATTGAAGGCACACAAATATCTAGTTTGCAAGAGCATATGAAAACACAATTGCAGGCACAAACTTATATGCAAGCATTGATGCAAACACAAATGAAGATACAATCAGAAATGCAAACACTCATGCAACAACAAATGCAAGAAGAAATGCAATCTTTCAAGAAAGATTTATTATCTGCCTTAAAGAAACAATGATGAAAATGTACTTTAAACTTTGTTTATATTTTTAATTGTGTTATATAGAACTTTTTAGTTGAAATATTATTTTTGTTATGTTTTAATTGTTTGAAACATCATTTTAACTATGTTTAAACAATATTTTTATATTGAAAGTTGATAAGTTTGTCTTCTTTTTTCAAGAATATGAGTGATAATTTAAATGTTAAACATTTGATATTATAATGTTATGATGATATATTAGCAGAAATATTTATTATGTCAATAAAATTATGAGAGATTAGCTACGGATTAACGAAAGATTAACTACGGATTAACAAGAGATTAACTACAGATTAGCGAGAAAAGAATTTTGATAAAAATTGTGATGGATTAGCTATGAAATAACGAGAGAAAAATTGTGAAAGATTAGCTACAGATTAGCAAGGAAACAATTGCGAGACATTAACTATATATTAGCTAGAGATAAATTGTTAGGGATTAGCTACAGATTAGCAAGAGAAAAATTGCGAGGGATTAGCTACGGATTAGCTAGTATACAATTGTGAGGAATTAACTATATATTAGCTACTGATAAATTGTCAGGGATTAGCTATAGATTAGCGAGAGAAAAATTACGAGGGATTAGCTACGGATTAGTGAGAGCGAAATTGCGAGGGATTAGCTACGGATTAGCGAGAGAAAAATTGTGAAGGATTAGCTACGGACTAACTACAAGTTTTGGGAGATCAATTAGCTAGAGAAAAACAAAATTTCATCATTTAAATTAGCGAGGGATTTAGCGACCGTTTAGTGACAAAATTTGCTACAAATTTGAGAGAATACATCTGTATCTAATTAGCTACTTGGATTTAGCTACGGATTATTTCATAGCTATTCCGTAGCTAATCTGTAGCAAAACATACTAGCGAGAGATTAGCTATAAAATAGCTACGGAATGTGTCATAGCTAATATGTAAAATTCTTGTAGTGAATGATACTGAGAAAAATTAAGAAAATAAGGTCGAAATGGTAAAGGGAGAGGGGACCGCCATTACCATTTATTCAACCATATGAGTAAATAAACTTGATTAATATAAAGTATCTAAAGACAAAGATATTACATGCTATAGTTGTGAGATGATGTTGATCAACAAATCCTCTTCATATACTCTATCCATTCAACATATAGAATAATAGGTATGTCAAGTTAATAGCTATCACACTCTCTTCACCATAATCAATGATAACTTAGGGCACAAAACTCGAATACTAGCATCGTTCCTTAATGCCAATGGGGAAGAAAGATTACAAAGTGATAAACGCTTTGACACACGGGAAGTAATCCTTAATGTTGTCCAAGTTTCAAAATAAAAGGATATTTTGCTTCTCTTTTTTCGTTACAAAAAAAAATATCAACATGTCACTTATATGGACCACACAATATGCACATTAATCACACATTGAAGTGAGGAAGTTAGACTTTGTTCATCGTCATCAGTTAGCATTGTTTATTAATGTTGATAAACACGATATGTTTTTCTTCGTAATGTACATCAAATAAATAAACACATTTCAAAAGGGAACACAATGAGAATAGAATATTTCTTTGGGCCCAAAAACTTATTTAAAATTAAAATATTTTATTACTTTTATAAAGTAACCATTAACATAATATTAATATATAAAAATTAAGTTGATATATTTGTTACTGGTCCTTAAAGCATAAATAGATTATATCATTAATTACTGCCAAAATATATTATCCATTATAAAATAATTATTACGTAAGTGATAAGTAACTATTGAATAATTAGTTCTTATAAAAAATTCTTTAAAATAAGATATTTGTTTTAACAAAATGAAACAATGCACATAAGTTACGATATTAATAGTATAATAGATAATTAAATTACTTGAAAAGTTATAATATTGTTAGAGAAGTTATGTTGATTAATATATACATGATCTTATCTATTACATTATATCATTATCATGGTTTAAATTATAAAAACAAGTCATTACTTCAAATCTCATATGTTGGAAAGGAGGGGAATGATAAGACAAATAAAGAGATCCAATTAAAATATAATATTTTGAAAGATGACGGGTATGACTTATGTTACTTCAAAAAATGGAAGATAATATGAGGGTAAGGTCACAATGTTCGTGTTGGTCACATGTTTTGTAGCAGTCATGGGTGATTTACTCTTTAGTTATGATCTTGGTATTATGGGAGGGGTGACTTCCATGAAACTCATAATAAAATTCTTTCCTAGTGTTTATAAGCTAATAAAATTCTTTTGAAAAAGATTATTTACAAAGAATAAAAAAAACATTTAAAAACTACAAAGACATAAATGTTTGGATGGATTTAAAATTAAAATTGGTACAATTATAAGATAAAAAAATATTGAATGTTTTAATTTATTTTTTTTAGTCTAGTTTTATGATTGTGAAGGAAGTTTCTATAAAACTTTGTATAACCAATTATGTGAATATTTATTTTCTATGATTAGAAAATTAGAATAAATTTTTTTAATTATCAAATATTAATAATCATACACTAATATATTTGTTTAGAAATTTTATCTCCTATTTTGCCAAAGCTCCACCTCAACTTTATGATTGTATATTTATCGTTGAAATTTGTACACACTATTTTAAATATACCACACAATTGTTGTTAGGTCTTTCGAAGGAGATTTATTGGGGAGAAATAACATCAATGAGACATGAGTCCAACCCACATAACAATTAACACCACTCTCAACAAAATTTTTTAAAGTATTGAGTTATTGATCTTTCTTCCTGGTATGTTGCTCAACTTTTTCATTCTTACACAAGGTAGGACTTAGACTCATACTTGTATTTCCTAACAATTGTACTTGTCTTATAGTCATAATCTTTTTCATATGTATCCTTATTAGAATAGTCATCTATTAAACCTAAAGATGGCCCTTGAGAAAATTCATCACCACAATTATATTAAGTTTTGAATCAGTCACTAGAAAATACATAAATAATATAGTTTTCTTAAACTAAAAACATATATTTTATCCTAACAAATAATGGTTAACTTCAACTTTGATATATCTACATTGTTAGAAATGACAATTAAACTCATACATGTGGGAACCGATTCGTCCCCGTCCCGAGTTTGTAGGGAAAAATCGAGTTGACTGGGAGTAAGGGTGGGTTTAGGTTTTCCCCATATTAAAAAGTCGGGAGCGAGGCTGGGGATGAGTAATGAAATCCCCACCACGACCTCGTCTCTATCCCTGCCCCGACTTTATATTTAAATATAAATTTTAAAATATTAATATTTTAAAAGTATTTCCTTTCCTTTTTCTATTACATATAAGATCATTTTTTTATATTTCACTATTTTTATTTTTCTTCTACCCACTTTTTAATTCTTTTATCTTCTTTAATCCTTTATATATGAGTCTATTATATATTTTTTTTCTTATATTTTAGTTTTTCACATTTCCTTAATCTCTTTAATCATTTTTTTTCAATCTTTTCAACTTGTTTAATGAATGTTAAGTGGTAAAAGTTGATGTAATAATGTCTTTGATTGTTATTTAACCACTCAAATTATGTTTATTCTGATCTATTTTTCTCCCAATAGGATGAATTTGCATAATATCTTTGTGCAAGAGCAGGGATCGTAATTTTCGAGATAATTGAAGAAAATTGGAAGAAAGAAGAAGATTTTCAGTTTGAGATTCACCTGAGCGAGACGGACGTTCGCTTGAGCAAAAATACGTTAAAACTCTTGGGAGTTCACTCGCTCAAGCGTCATTTACTCTCCCTTGAGCAAAAATATGACAAAGCTCTCGGGTATCCATTCGCTGAAGCGAACATATCTCGCTTGAGCAAAAATTGCTATTTTTCGCTTGAGCGAGTGTGTCGCTTGAGCGAATGACACATTACCTAAATTGTTCTATAAAAAGATAAGAAGTGTTTTGAGAATGGGGGTTCGAGATTTTGAGAAGAGAGGCGATATTTACTACAGTTTTCGTCCAATCTTCAATTCTTCTTGAGTTCTTCTTCATTAGATTATTGTAATGGTCATCATGAGGGGTTAATTTCATTCTCTTAGGATTAGGTGCATTTCCATTGAACTCTTTTGTATCTTGGTGATATTTTGAGATATTAATCTATGTTCTTGATGTTGATATTCTTATCTTTTGTGCTCTTTAATGTTTATCATTAATGTTTGGGATGTATTGGAAAATATATCTTGAAAACCTAGATCAGGTTAAGAATATTTGTTATGTTAATTGCTAAGAATGGTAATGGATGTATCAATTGTTTAACACTCTAAACCTAATGCTGGGAAATCTCTTAAAGGTATGAAGAATCGACGTTTATTATGTTTTCTTATAAATTTCATGTGTGAGGAATCAATATAAATAAATTGAGTAGGTGACATCAACAGTGATAGGTTAATTGACGTTCTTAATTTGACCTAACCATTATACAAAGGAGAGAAAATGAAGTAAGTCAATCCTAAGTTCTTATAATTCATCTTTTCTAAATACATTTTATAGTTTTTACTGTTTATGTTCAATTCCAAAGTTTATGAAAACCAGTTTGTGTTAATACACTTAGTAAGCAGATAATTTGGAATTTTCAGTGAAATCGTTCCTCATGAGATCGACTTTTATTTAACCGAAATATTATACTGCGATTGATATTATTAGTATGCTTGTCAATTATTCAACAATGAATATAAAGTTAATTTTTTTTCTTCTTTATCTTTTTCTAAATATTTTACATAAATCTTAATAATAACTAATATTATTTTATTTATAATTTATATTTATTAAGTTTTATTATGTCATATTTTTTTATTTTTATTATTCTTATTTGTCATATATCTAATTTTATCTTAATAAAATAATTCTACTTCTTTAATAATTCTATTTTAAAGAAGTAGAAAGAGATGATATGTTAAACTTTTATTACTTCAAACTAATTAAATAATAATTAACTTATTAAATATTTTCTTATAAATCATATATTTCATATTTTTAAATGATAATTTAAAAATAAATTAATTTTTATATATAATCAAATATTTGAATATAATAATAATAATAATAATATTATAAATATTCTATATTTATATAAAAAATTAATTAAATACATTTTTACACACATATTTTAATATAAATATAATTATTTAACACAATAATCCTTTAAATTTCAATTTATTTATAGTATACATTTTTATGAATTAGTTAAAATATTATAATTGTTATTTTTATAAAATATAATTAAAAAAAAGTAATCGATACCGTACTAGTTATTACTATCATTATTAAAGTTATCTAGAAGATAAGATAAGATGTATTGAAATTTTATGCCACCTGGAGTATGCTTTTATCATTTTCATTTTCCTGATTTATTTTTTATGGATTGTTTAATATAGTAACTATATCATCGGTTTGAAGGACACGAGTCCACCACTTTCTAGTTGCTCATAACAAACTTGGTTTCCAAAGAGAGCCACGTGGAAGGTCATATTTGCCACTACGTCAGCTACGCATTTATTTATCCGATAAATATCCACCACGTCAACCATGGCACTTCCGTAATTCCCCACAAAATCTCCTACCCTAATATTCAGTTTAACTTTTTTCAAATATTTCACATAATCTTTCATTTCAAAATTACTATTATCATTAATCTAGTAAACATTAAACTAAGTATTTTTACTCTTTTATTTGAATTTTCTGTGTAAGATAATTAATTTCCATAATCAGTTATAAGAGTTTTTTTTTATAATATCAATTTAACTAAAATCATTATTTCTTTTCATAAGATATTTATTGAAAGTGAAACAAATTCGTAGTTTAGAATTATTCACAAAATTATTTATAACATCAATACATAAATTTTTTATTTTTATTTTTATTTTAAAAGTTATATCTAAACTAATGTTTAGTTAATTGGAAATAAAACTATATATTACATATAATATAATAGTAAATTAAATTAAACCCACTATTAATTATGTGATAACTTTTATTGAAAAATAATATCATAAATGACTAAATAAGTTTTTCTTACCTTCAAAATTAGTATTTCTATTTTTTTTTAAATATCTAACTTTTAATATATATATATATATATATATATATATAAACTTTTTCTGATAATTATCATATTACTATATTTAAATTAATAATATTAACCTATCAAAATTAGTAATTGAATGCCGTTGATTGAAAGTTAGTAATTATCATGATTAAATAAAATTATTTATTGAATGTTAATTACTGATAAAATTTTGAAGATTCTAATTCAATATTAACCAATTTTAGTGATGAGAAAATATTATTTAACTATAACATAAAATACCTTAACACAATCAGTTAATTGTTTATTTTTTATAAATAAATTCGTTAAGTTTAATTTTCAGTCAAACTTTTGTACAAAATAAAAATTAATCTAAAATATTTTTTTTAAACAGTTACAATTAAAATCTATAAAAAAAATTATATGTAACAAATCTGAGATAATCTGTATCAAAATCGTCCTTAAAAAAAACGGTGAAGATTAACCCTAATTATATCCTCTTTAAATCTAAGATTTTTAATTTGGCGATCGCAGATAATAATAAAATAATAGAGAAGATGAGATATGCATAAAGCGATTACGTGTGATTCAAGCCAAAACCCACAACCCCACGAACCTTTTTCCTCGTTCGCTCGCTCCACTCTCTCTTCTCTTAAATCTGCTTCCGTTAATTGCTTCAACGCCCTTGCTTTTGGCGAGGATACGAGGAACCGGTTCAAATTTTCCGGGCTGTTTCGTCATCACGCACTATTTATCATCGAATGAGTTAATTGCTCTCTCGTAAAGAAGAAGAAGAAGAAGAAGAAGAAGAAGAAGAAGAAGAAGGAACAGTGGTGGTAGCGTAGAAGAGATGCGAAAGTCCTTCAAGGATTCCCTCAAAGCTCTAGAAGTTGACATTCAGTTTGCCAATACTCTGTAATTCACTTCTCCCTCCACTCTCTGCAGTATTTACTCTTAGTTTTGATTTTGTTTTTGTTTATATAATTGTATGGTGTTGATCTTGATTATTAGTTTCAGAAATTTGAGAGTTTGATGGAGTTGGTAGTTCTAGTTTTCTCTTAATTAGAGATTTTTTTACATAATATTAGGGGATAGTGTCTCAATTCTAAACAAAGAGAGTATCAACTCTTGTTGACGCCACTGAGGATTCGAACCTGCGAAAAATTAGATAGGAGATATGGAATTTGTGATTTTTTTTAGTTTTTTTTAGATAATTTGTGGGTGTGTAGTTATGCACTCTGGTTTGTTCTATTTGACTAAATGGCAAGTGTGCGAGTCATTGGCGCTTTTTTAGTAAATCATAAATTTAGTTCTTTAGTTCTTCAAATTAAAAAAAAAATTACAAAAATCAGATAAATCTCTAAATTTTTTTAGAATTTTATTTAATTTCTTAAAAAAAAATTAATTTGGTCTCTAAACATATTAATTTTTCACCAAATTCTAAACGGTTGTTGAAAGTTCAGTGGATGGTACCAGGGGAATGCAAACTATTCTTATTGAGGGTAAAGCAAAGGAAAGTGTGGATTTGGTTGAATAATTTATAAAAGCACTAATAAGCAGGCTCCTTTGGATGGTTTTATTTGTCTTTATTTATTTCAACTCGGCTTTTGTCATCCATGGTGTTCATTGGCTTTATTTATTATTTCTTAATTTAGTAATTTTTTTATATGAAAATTTTAAATTTAGTTAATTTCTTATATCAGTATTATTTCTTATAATATATTCTTATTTTTTTAAGTTAAACCATTTCACTGGTCCAACCATTCGGACCATTGAACCGGTTCAATGACTGGTTCAGCTTTCACAACACTGGTTATGGTGGTTGTTTTCGTACAAGTGCAAAATTCAAGGATACATGACCCCATTAAGATTTGAAGTGTATCTTTATTATCAATATTTTTCTGTTGTTAATGGTAGGTGCTTTTTATGCAAAATTCAAGTGTACATAGCTTTCACTTTTTCTATACAAATGAAGTTACGCTGTCACACATGCTTTTGGATAGTCTGTAGAAATTGCTGTTGTCAATTCGAGCTTTCAATTATAGTTTTATTGTCCTGTTGAAGACACTAATTTCTGTTTGTAATACATTAAAATGAGATAATTTACATAGAGAAGTCATGACGGATTATCTTTTCGATAATATAGTTTTTTCTTATGAAGCACATTTTTTGGGTATTTGTTTTTAACCTATTCATTGTGCAAACCTGTTTTCTGCAGTGCTTCTGATTATCCAAGAGAAAGTGATGGAGCCTGCTTACAAATGAGATTGTCTTATAGCCCAGCTGTTCAATTTTTCCTTTTTCTGGTTCAGTGGACTGATTGTCATCTTGCTGGAGCCTTGGGATTGCTTAGAGTTCTCATATACAAGGTGAAATTTATGTCCCTCATGGATCTCAATAAAACTTGTAGTCCACAATCAAATATGATAGTGTTGACCAATGCTTCGATTTTTTGGCAAGCTTGTAATAACGTGTTGAATTTGTCCCAGGTATATGAGGATGGGAAGACAACCATGTCCCTTTGCGAGAGAAAAGCCAGTCTGAAGGATTTCTATGGTAAGTGAATGTTGGTCCAAGAGCTTTAGTTTATGAATCCAAGATTGACTGCTTTTTGTCTGTGCTTTGGCCACCATCCCTTCCCCACACCAGGAAATAAAACTCCTTTTTAACCTGAAAAGAAAAATCAATTTTGAAACCATGTCATATCTTCGTATGAAACACTTAGATGGTTTTATTTTCCTTTAGAAAAGGGGCTCAAACTCTAGATATAATTGCTTTTACGTATACCCTTTAATGACAGGTGTGATCTTTCCCTCTTTACTACAACTCCACAGAGGAATTACTGATGTAGAAGAAAGAAAACAGAAAGATTTATGTGCTACAAAGTACATGCCCAGAGATATAAGAAAAGGAAAACTATCTGAAATTGATACTGAGAGAGAAGAAGAATGTGGTATTTGCATGGAGATGAACAACAAGGTTGTGTTGCCCAACTGCAACCACACGTTGTGTATGAAATGCTACAGAAATTGGTGAGCACATTGTAATTTATGTTACAGTGTGATATGGTTCCCACATTGAATTCCCAAACCTATTTCAAATTAGAGTCAAATTTTTTTTTTTTTTGGAAGGAAAATAATAGTAAAATATAATTAGAAACTGCAATCATAGCATGAGAAGTGAGATCGTAGCAGGACATTACAGTAGCAAGTACTAGGTAAAACAACTTCAAGAAAAACCACATCCACCCTACTTAAGCAAACTGGTTATAGTCGAAGAAAAATGCCTGAAACCATCAGCAAACTTGAGTAAATGATGGAGAAATTATTTCTAAGTTTTAATGGTAAAATAGTAATAAATAAAATTAAGATAACTTAAGATCTTAAACATCTGGATTTTCAATTTAATAGATATTGACTGATAACCAAGAACATGTAACTGTAGAGAGCAGCAGAACTGGACTGATTGTATTTATATTTAGCTTAGTATTGAATATGAATATATCAGCACTGTCAATCAAGAAGTAGAAAAGGTTTCTCATCAATTCTGTTGGTGGTGTGAATAAGAGTCATCTTGATAAGATTTTTTATGTGAGAAGAAATATTAGGCTTGAGTCATGCTAAATGATCTTTCTGAAATGTGATTAACTCCTTGACTATGCTACTTACTGACATTGTTTACACTAGGAAGGATTAAGATTTTGTTGTTTTTCAGGCATGCAAGATCTCAATCTTGCCCTTTCTGTCGGGACAGTCTTCAAAGGGTAAATTCTTGTGATCTTTGGATCTACATGAACAGCAATGAGATAACTGACCTGGCTTCAATCAATAAGGAGAATTTAAAAAGACTATTTCAGTACATTGACAAGTTGCCTCTTATTTTGTCAGATCCTTCATTCATGTCTTATCCCCAGCGCTTTTGATCTTTACCTAATGAATTTGGTTTTGCGGTGAGCAGCTGTAGAATTTAATTAGGTTACATATGTACATTGATCCTGCTCTCATGTGTACATTGATCCTGCTCTCATGTCTTATTTTCAGCACTTCTGAATTTTCTTTAGTGATGGATCATTTTTATTTTAAATTCCACCGTGTGTTGGAATATGATTCAAAATGTAAATACACGTTGATTTCATATTGAAATAATTTTACACCATTGAAATTGAAATTAAATTAAACTATTGTTTGTCATCTGAGTTAGTTCATCAGTGCTTGCAGTCATATTGCTCCACCCTTAAATGTTGAAATTAATGTATATTTTTAAAATATATATGTATTTTAAAAATAATTTAAACTTGATGTCCTTATATTTTGTATTTCAATGATAATAAATATATTAAGTTTTAAAAAATTAAATTAAATAAAAGTTTGTTTAAAATAATAAATTATCTTATAATTAATAATATAAATATAGAGCATATTTAAATTTGTTAGCCACGTGAACTTTAATAGTTTTTCTTTATGAGTTTATTATATTATTAAAATCATTATTTTATAAAAGTTAATTAAAATCTGATTTGAATTTTTAAAATCTTCAATCCATATCTTTACAAATCTAATAACTTTACAAATCTAATAACGACTTCAAATTTTGAAACCATGAATAAAATTTGATATGCTCACACAATCATTGTGCAAATTATTTTTAAAAGTTGAATTGCATATTTTTATAATATTCTATCTGCAAATTAGATTAATTATATGAGAATAATTTAAAATATATTCTTCAATTAAATTATTTTAAAATATATTCTTCAATTAAATTATTTTAAGAGATTTTTGGTTAAAAACTTTTTTTTAAATGGATGATTTTCATATTTCTTTTTAAATTAAATTTTATATTTTAAAAAAATTTCATTATTGAAAATAAATTAAAATGTAACTTAATATTGGAAACATTTATTCATTACAAATACTAGTTATGATTAATTTACAAATATTTTAAAAGTATTTATTTATTATGAATTTTAATTATGTAAAATAAATATCCATCATGTATACAGTACAAGCTAAATGTTAATTACAAATAATTAATCAAGTTTTTTAATTCAACAATAGAAACATAATGTTTTATTTTTTATAATGAAATACTTTCAACTAATATTTATTTTGTATTAAATATTTTATTATAATTTTTAATTTACATGCAAATAACTTACAACAGGTTGAGTTAAAGGTAAAATTTATAATTTTAGGTAAAATTCAGGTATTTTAAAAAAATTGAAACCTTTATTGTGTAATAGGTGAAGGTTAAAATCAAATATGATTAATTTCCAACGATTAAATATTTTATTTACTTTATTAAAAATAAATTAGGTACAATATATTGGACACTGAACAATGTAAAACGCTATAGTATTATATTATAAAATTATAATATTCAAAATAAATCTCTGAAATATTGATTAAATTCATAACCTTATAAGTTATGTTAATTCTTCATTATTGTTAATATTATTAATTAAGTTATTTATAATTTTTTTTTAAATTTAAATTATTAACAAATTACACTTTAATATATATTTATCATTTTTAAAGACCAATTATTTTATAAATGCTAATAGTATGTTTTACCCTTTAAAGTATTTATGTTAAGTAAAAGATATTGATTAGTAATGAATAATATCAACAAATTATTATATTATTATTTTTTCAATAAACTGATATTTTCAATTATAATTCTATATCTAAACTAATGAGGAAACTTTACATTTTGGATAATATAAAATGCTATATTATTTATTTATGTTATAAAAGAAATATACAAAATCAAATTCTCAGAAGGAACTAAACAAGAGTGTGGTCCATTATTTTTCTCTTTCATTTTTTACTAATTTTTGCAACCAGTTATTTGAATGGTTTTGTTGAGTACACATAACCAAGAAACACCAGCCATAATATATATATATATATATATATATATATATATATATATATATATATATATATATATATATATATATATATATATATATATATATAATGTTATAAAAATTAATTTGTTTTCAGTTATTTATAGATTAATATTTATATAAATAATTTAAAAAATTTATTTTAGCAAATCAATTATGAAATATATTTTTAAGTTTTAAAAATTAAAAACTAAAAAATAATTTTATGAACCATAAGCAAGTTCTAATTCACTCTTTTCATTTGTACATAAGTTTTCTATTTTAATTAAATTTTACAATATAAAATTTATACTACAAGCTTACCAAGAAAACAAAAATTTCTTATCAATATAAGAATTAATAGAGATAGTGAAAGGAAAAAAAAACTTAGTAAATGAAAATAATAGAGATAGTAATTTACAAATATAGTTATAAAGATAAAATAAGGTATATAAAATATGAACATCAATGTTTTGTATTTGTAAATTATTTCACTTTACGGATTATATTTCTTCTAAATTTTTAAATGTTTCTGATCATTTTTTACTACCATTTAATAAAATGTTTTTAAAGCTATAACATGGACAATTTTTAAATGATATACTATATGATAATTTATTTTACCACGACTTTTACACAAGACATATTCAAATGTAAATTATATAACTTTCAAATAGTACTAAGAATTATTTTAAAATAATAAATTTGATAAAATAAAAAAAATATCAACAAAGTAGAAACAAAAGTTATTATTATACAAAAGTAAAAAATATTCTATCTAAATTTAGAATTTTCTTTACTTTATCTTATATTCAAATAATATGTTACTTTAAATTCTATAATTTTTAGATCCCCTCATCTTTTATTTATTTTTTTCTGAAAAGAAAGAATAAATAAATAATCACCAACCTTAATGTCTAGGCGCTAACTAAACCTAAGGTTGGGCTAAAGCTGAACAAGTTGCGAGGGAACGGAGTGAATACAGTACAACCCCCAATCGAGAGGACCAAAACTTTGTAAAAAGTTTTTCGACCATCTCCTACCGTTTTTTGACGCCAACCACTGTTTCTCCACCCTCTATCACATGGCCGTGGTTGGTGTTCTTGCGCTACAAGGATCTTTCAACGAGCACATAGCTGGCAAGTTCATCTTCCTTTTCATTTTTCATTCATTCAATTTTTTGGCCTCATATTTGTTCTCTTGTGTTGCAGCTCTTAGAAGGTTAGGGGTGAAAGGTGTGGAGATTCGAAAGCCGGAGCAGCTTCATACCGTTACTTCCCTGATCATCCCTGGTGGAGAAAGTACCACCATGGCTAAGCTCGCTGAGTATCATAACTTGGTCTCTTTCAATACTTTTTTTTTTTAAGTTAGATTATTTGCTTGGTCATATGCCTGCCTTTTTTTTAAAACCCTGAGTTTTAGTCTTTTTATGACAAAATTAAGTTCGGTCTGTAAACGTCATAGAACTTGTAATGTTGTAAAACTGTTAGAGAAACTTTCTGGGGGATGATAAACTGCTACAAAAAATACTGTTTTGGGACTAAAACTAAAATTTAGTTTTCTTGTATACGGATACAAATTTATAATGTGGACAACTATAACAAGTGAACAGTTTAATCTTAGTTTTGTGTATTTCTCTGTATGTGATATTGTTTTAAATGAAATTTATACTGACAAATGTGATGTCTGGTGTAATTTATATTGGTCCTATGTTTCTTTTACTTTTGAAAAAAATAGTCTCTACATGACAAAAGAGTCATTAGAATCCCACTTTTCGAATCTTACCATTCAATACACTTTGACTACCTATTGATTCTTATCTCAAAATGAATCTTAAATGGCCTTGTATCTTATGATACATGAATGAATCTGTGTAATTTCGGATCACGATATGATTCAAATGTTTCAGATGTTTTTACTTTTTTCCAATCATTGGGAAAACAAATCACAAAAGTCACATGGGCTTAAATTTTTAAATGGAAACGAATTTGAAATAGCACTTTGATTATTCCACCTTTATTTGTCACTCATTCATTCAATGTGTGTACTCTATTTGCCTATTTTGTTGATTTGTTTCCATTCTTCTAAAATAAAGACTTCACAAACCTAGATATAAGTAATAGTTTTGTTTTATATGATATATTTGAAGAAATTATTCTTTGCATTTAAATTTTTCGATCTGATACAAAATTATTATTCACAGTTCAAAAAATAGTTCAACATGATTCATTGTCAAATTTCAACTTAATATCAATTGACATTAGGTAAAGTGATCAACAGATATATAAGTCATATTTGAAAAAGAGAGACAGGTGATGTAAGATTCTCTTTAACATCTCTCTCAGCTAAGATGGCAACTATAATAGGTGGGACTAGAAGGTTTTGATATTATGTTAGATTTCATCTTAACACTAATTGACATTAAGCAAAGTGACCAACACATATATAAGTTATATCTGAAGAATTAAGGCAAGCGATGTGGGAAACGTTGGAAGAGTCTCATATCATCTATCTCACATCTTCTATCTCAATTCTTCTTAGTTGAAGAGATGTCAAGGAGAGTCCCACATCGCTTGTTTCAATTCTTCGGGTATGGTTTATATATCTATTGTTTACTTTGCCTAACAAGTATATGTGATATAGTTACGTTGCGGTTGCAGTTCATGTATGTAAGTTTATTGAGAGAGTTTTTGTAACTTCGGTATGGATAATGAGGGATGAAGGAGAATGATGTAACGGGAACTAGATTTTGTGTTTATGTGATTATGAATGAGAGAATTTTGGTAGTACATTGAACTTTATGCACTCTAGTGTTTTGATATTTACAGTTTCCTGCCTTGAGAGAGTTTGTAAGAATGGGAAAACCTGTTTGGGGAACCTGTGCAGGGCTTATATTCTTGGCAAATAAAGCTATAGGTGTGTTGTTTCTGTCTTCTTCTTTCTTCCCTTGTATCTTTGTTTTTATTTTTTTCTCACTTGAAAAATTAGATAATAGTTTAAAAATATTCAAATGACAACCATCATTTCAGGACAGAAGACTGGTGGACAAGATTTGGTTGGTGGACTTGATTGTACTGTGCATAGAAATTTCTTTGGCAGTCAGGTAATGCAAGCACAATGCAGTTTAATATACATTATATCTATGAAACGAAACTTACATTAATTGATGAACATGAAAATTTCAGCATAGCATTCTTTTTGCATGGGTGTAAAGAGGAAGGTCATTCTTAAATGGCCAAACATTTAACATGTGATTTATTCTTAATGGTGCCAATGGAGAACTATTCAGGGCTCTATAGTTATTGTCACTGGCTGAGCCATATAAGGGATACTAATTAAGTTCTCAGTGAAGAATTAGGAGTGTCCTCTCTTTCTTCCCTGTTCAATCTGTTATCTTCTTGAGTCAAATTTCTTATTATTTTGAAGCATCAAAATCTAAAATAATTGCAAATGTTCAAAATTTTTGGTAGAGTTTTTTTGGAAAAACAAACGACTCTCTTTTAAAACATTTAATATTTGTGCCGATATAACTGTTAAGGTTCATGTAAATATAGTATGTGATGCACAAAACTAAATGTAATTAGGGAAAAAATAATATGGATGGTTTGAAGAACAAATTCTTTTGTCCAATTTAATAATTTGGTCACATTTAACCAAAATACATATATGTTTAGATTCAAAGCTTTGAGACAGAGCTTTCAGTGCCACAGCTTGCCTCCCAAGAAGGTGGTCCGGAAACATTTCGTGGTATTTTTATTCGTGCTCCAGCAATTATTGAAGCAGGGCCAGAAGTTCAAGTGCTGGCTGATTATCCTGTATCTTCTGACAGATTGTTAAGTTTTGATTCCTCTATTAAAGACAAAATGGTTAGTTATTGACATTCTATGGATGGGAAATATGTCACTGATCTAAATTTCAGTTAAGATTATTTTTGTCAATTATACTTTTAGATTGTTAGTGGTTATTTATTCCAAATCCATTAGAAGTTAAAATGTGCATTTATACGATGAATAGTAACAAGAAAAATGTATGTATTAGCAAAGATCAAATAATAATGCTATTTGTTATTGGCAGGATGGAAGGTGTATAATTATGTTTATGAAACTGATATTTTGAGGATGACTGAATTTTAAGCTTGGGGGTAGGGGGGGAGAGGGTGGTTGACTCTGGAAGTGTCGTAATGTTTCCAAGTTCCTTTTGGTTTGGTGGTTTAGTACGGGATTCTAAACTGTCTCGTGTGATCAAATCCACGATTTTAAAGGATAAACCAAAAGGAAGAAAGGAGTGGATAAAGAAAAAGGAACTAGGGATATACCATTTAGTTGTGTTATAGTAATATGTTTTGTTGAATTTTGAGATTGAAGTGTAATAAGTCCTTCAATAGAAAATTGTCTCATGCAACTGGTGTGGTGGCCATAGTGTGCTATCGCTGAAGTGTTTGCTCTGACCATGTTGCTTTCAAGGAAATGCCTCTTGGATTATTAGTTTCTTTAACGAAAAATTAGCTTATTCAATTTCAGTAAGACAAACAATGTTTACTTGATTGTGTAACCATACTACCATATAACTTGTTTAAGAGGTGACCTTCTTATTTGTTTTAGGTGGAAGGAATTTTGTACTATAATGGTTTCAAAACCACTCAGCAGTTGAAAAACAAATGGTCTAACTATATGTTTTAATTGAACATTTCTGCTAATCTCACAAATAATGTTTCCTAATGTAACAGTTCTTATTTTTCCTGAAGTAGTTTAATACTATAAAACTGTCTTCTAATTGCCACTGAAAATTAATCAACTTTACTATAATGAATATCTTGGTCTTTGAGTACCTGATTGCATATTAGTTTTGGATGACAGGAGAATACTGAGGAAGAAAGTAAGGTTATAGTTGCAGTAAGACAAGGGAACATTCTAGGGACTGCTTTCCATCCTGAATTGACAGCTGATACCCGATGGTAGATATAAATTGTTTTTTACTTCTGAATATAACAATTCTATGAGTTGTAAGGAGATCTAATGATGTAATTTTTCAGGCATAGTTATTTTGTGAAAATATCAATGGAGATTGGAGAAGAGACCTTAAGTAGCCTGGTTCCTGCACAAGTCAGCACAAATCACAATCAACTGGCCCCGATTGACCTGCCTATCTTTCAATAGGACAATACTCACAAACCTGAACAATTATGGATGTTTTTTTTTTTTTTTCTCTAAATTTAATTTCTTGAATATGATATGAGATAATTATTGGATCCTAGAAGATAGCTAGCTTCATAATATTCATTTTTCTTTTCCATTTTGGACAAACAACTATATTATAGACTTGGTTTTTTTCTGATATACAGTCATCTATCTATGGAATATCCCTTCTATCATAAGTAGCTATTAGTTAAATTAAGGTGTGTGTCTTGTCTGAACTATGCCTTTTTTATTAAATAGTCATTCAAAACAAAAATAAAATAAAAATAATGTATGTTTTGTTTTGATTTTAATTTAATATAAGAAATCTGAACTAAACGAAATAAATAAATGTTGAACCGTTTGGATAATTTTTACAATTATAAAATAATTAAATATACATTTAAAAAAATTAAATATTGTTATAAACATTTTATATAGAAAATTTGTTTAAAAATGTGTAACATCTCAAAATTAATATAATTTTTTAATATTTTAGGTATTTTAAATAATTTATGTAAATAAATAAATGAAAATATATGTATATATATATATATATATATGAAATTAATAATAATTATTATTATAATATATTATGAAATTATTATTATTATTATTATTATTATTATTATTATTATTATACTTAAAATGTAAAAATATAACATGAATTAATAATTATTATATATTATTAGAAAAAAAAGATAACCTTATCTTCTCTTGGAGATAAACTTTAACATAAAAATAATATTAGTTTAATAAAAAGATAAGAAGAGTCATTAATGTAAAAAAAAAAGTAAAAATCTTCCTATATAAAGGATCAAGGCAGCGGAAAAGAAAGAAAAAAAAAAGGGAGAAAGGTAAGAAAGAGAGAAGGAAAAGAGAGAGGAAGAGAAGAAAAGAGAGAGGAAGAGAAGGAAGAGAGAGGGAGAGAAGAGAAGGAGAGAGGGAAAGAAGAGAAAAAGAGAAAAGAAACAAATTGGAAACAAACTTTGGTATACCATTTGTGATACTGAGGTAGGGGATAAGAATATTATCATTAAATCTACTTATTTTACTTATAGTTGTGGAGTGAGGTGTCTCTAACCTCATTTTATTTATTTAGTTATTTGTTTATTTATCTCTAACTATGTAATGGTCGTGTCTTATGTTTGTTTATTTTATCTCCAGTCTTGCACTGATCCTATTTTAATTATCTCTAGTTATATACCGGTCATGTTTGTTTATTTTATTTTATCTACAGTCTTGCACTGGTCCTATTTTAATTATCTCCAGTTATGTACTGCTCCTGTTTGTTTATTTTATTTTATCTTCAGTCTTGCACTGGTTCTATTTTAATTATCTCCAGTTATGTACTGGTCCTGTTTGTTTACTTTATTTTATCTCTAGTAATATAGCGATCCTATTTATTAATTTATAGTTATATTATTTGTGAAGATTTGATGATATTGTAGATGGAGGTTGGACCTTGGGGATTTAAATGAGTAAATATCACTGGGAGAGTGATTAAAATTGGGCTCATTTATCCTGAGACTACACTACAAATTTAATTTAAATCTTCATAAAATAGAATGTGTTGGGGAAGTTGAAATATATATATATATATATATATATATATATATATATATATATATTAATTATAAGATTGTATTATTGTAAATGATAAATGTTATCACTCCCTATTGTGATCTTTTGTGCATGTTTTATTGAAATATCAACTTAAGTAGATGGAGGCGCCAAATATCCCAAATCCCTTTTTTGCAAGCATCACTGCCTTCTTTTCAGGAACTACTTGGAACACGAACGTTATAGACAACTCGATTACTTTTAAAGGGACAATATTATCAATAATAATATTTGCATCTGATATAGGAAATCTCATTATGTTAAATGGACCAGTAGTGGTTACCTTCTGTATGCCTCCTACCTTTTACCAAAACGCCTTAATCAGTTTGTTTCCACCATCAATGTAGATATTTGTATAATTGTAGAAAAAATAAAAGGAATCAAAAATAAAATTCCTTCTTCTTTTGTATATCTTATATATATATATATATATAGTGATGTAAATTACTTTTACATATATGTAATATATTTTTTTTACCTGCTACTCTTATACAAATAATAATAATAAAAATGTCACATTAGATGGTATCAGAGCAACGTTTCATGTATGACCTGTGAAATGAGTCTATCATGATATCTTATAAATCCTAACTTATATAATTCCAGATGACAAATAATAGAAGGAACAACGAGTTGACAGAAGCGGTACAAGCTATCCGAGACATGGTCGTTGCATTATTAAGGAACCAAAGACCTAAAGGAACCAATGGATCACAAGGTTTAGTTGAATTTAGGAGAAACAAACCTCCGCAATTTTCTGGAGGTTATAGCCCAGAAAAGGCTGAATTATGGATTAAAGAATTGGAAAAAATATTTGAAGTTATGAATTGTCCTGATGACCAAAAGGTAAATTATGTTGTGTTTATGTTGATAAGAGAGGTTGAATACTGGTGGGATAGTACCAGGAGATTATTACTAGAAGGAGGAAGAATAATCATTACTTGGGAAGTGTTTAGAACAAAATTTTTAGAAAAATATTTTTCCAATGATGTGAGAAGAGCGAAATAAATAGAGTTTATGCAATTAAAGCAAGGAAGTATAATAGTAGGAGAATATGTCTCTAAGTTTAAAGAGTTAGGAATATACTCTGCATTCTTTTATCACCTTGATGAAAGAATGAAGTGTATAAAATTTGAGAATGGACTTAGGCCTTAATTGAGAAAAGCAGTAGGAATACTAGAAATTTCTTATTTTCCTACATTTATTCATAAATGCAAATCTTTGGAAGATTTTGAAAACCATCAAAATAGTAAACCAAAATATTTTGGACCTCAGCATAATAAAAGGAGACAAAATGAAGGAAAACCTTACAACCACCCCCAATGGAAATCCCAACCCATCCAATTTTCCATAAGAAATTTTAATAAACCTATAAATAGTCAGTTCAAGTACTTCAAGTGCGGACAAGATTATTATGCTAAAGATTGTCATCTTAAAGGGTTGTCTGCTTCAAGTGTGGAAAACCTAGTCATATATTCTCTGAATGTCGGCAACAAAAACCAAATTCTGATCCTTCTACACCAAAAAGAAGACCTCCGACAACAGGAAGAGTGTATACCATGAATGGAACTGAAGTCTCTCAAAATAATGATTTGATCCAAGACATGTGTTTCATTAAAGGTAAAACTTTAAATGTATTGTATGACTCAGGCGCAACTCATTCATTTATTTCCAATGATTGTGTCCAACACCTTGAATTGCCAACTTCTTTTCTAGACACTAGTTTGATTGTTTCAACTCCCACAAGTAAGTCTGTAATCACCAATAAAATTTGTCTAGATTGTCCTTTGTTCATTGAAAACAGGAAGTTCCTTGTAAATTTAATTTGTCTACCTTTATCTCAATTGGATTTAATCTTGGGTATGGACTGGTTATCTTCCAATCAAGTCCTTTTGAATTGTGCAGAAAAATCAGTAATATTTTCAAATTCTGAAAATCTTTTGAATTTCTCTACCAACTCAGTAAATGAGTCTTTGAAGAACAAAATTCAAGGATATTTGTTACTATCTTCTGTGGAAGTAAAAGAGGAAGTCGATTTGAAAAAAAAAAAATAGTAGTTGTTCAAAATTTTCCTAAAGTTTTTCCTAATGATATTCCTGGTTTACCACCCAATAGAGAGATTGAATTTTCAATAGATTTAATGCCTAGAACTGGATCAATTTCTATGGCACCATATAGGATGTCACCTTCTAAACTAACAGAACTGAAGAAACAATTGGAAGAATTACTTGAAAAACAATTTATTCGTCCTAGTGTATCACCTTGGGGAGCCCCTGTTTTGTTAGTTAAGAAGAAAGATGGAAGTTTTAGGTTGTGCGTAGATTATCGTCAATTAAATAAATTCACCAAAAATAATAAATACACTCTTCCAATAATAGATGATTTGTTAGATCAATTAAGAGGAGCTTCTATATTTTCTAAAATAGATTTAAGATTAGGATATCACCAAATTAGAGTAAAGACAGAAGATGTACAAAAAACTGCATTTAGAATTAGGTATGGTCATTATGAATACCAAGTGATGTCTTTTGGTGTGACCAATGCTCCTGCAATATTCATGGATTATATGAATATGATTTTTCGTCCATTTTTAGATCATTTTGTTGTAATTTTTATAGATGACATTCTTATTTATTCTAAAACTTTTAAAGACCATGAGGAACACCTTCAAATTGTACTACAAATTTTGAAAGACAAACAATTGTATGCTAAACTTTCTAAGTGTGAATTTTGGTTAGAAGAAGTAAAATTTTTGGGACATGTAATTTCCAGGGAGGGAGTGTCACTAGATCCAACTAAGGTGGAAGCAATTCTACAATGGGATTGACTAAAAACAGTGACTGAGATTCGTAGTTTCTTGGGTTTGACAGGATATTATATGAGATTTATTAAAGGATTTTCTAAAATAGCTATACCTTTAACCCAACTCACGAAGAAAGGTCAAGTTTTTGAATGGACAGAAAAATGCGAAAATAGTTTTCAAGAACTTAAGAAAAGATTAACCACTTCCCCTGTACTAGCATTACCTAACCCCATTGGACATTTTGTGATATTTTGTGATGCTTCCAAAATGAGATTATGATGTGTTCTTATGCAAGATAGAAGGGTGGTTGCATATGTTTCGAGACAATTAAGAACACATGAGAAAAATTATCCAACTCATGATCTAGAACTAGCCGACATCGTTTTTGCACTCAAAATATGGAGACATTATGTGTATGGTGGTAAGTTTGAGGTTTTTAGTGATCATAAAAGTCTTAAATATTTGTTTGATAAAAAAGAGTTAAATATGAGACAGAGAAGATGGATGGAATTTTTGAAAGATTATGATTTTGAATTACATTACCATCCAAGAAAGG